TTCGTAATAAGGTTAGGGACAAATGGTGTGGAGCGGAAAGGTTTTATTGCCTGCCAAAAGTCTTGCTGACGAATTGCATTATTGAGTTGTTGTTTCAGCCGTGAAGAGTGCCTCCTTTTGTCACGTAATAGGGCTTTGTAAGAGTGCTTGGAGGTCACATATGCGGCTGTATGATGAATGTCCCAGTTATTGCGTTTAGCGTTGTGTAAGCAGATTTTTACAGAGCGGTTGGAAACATGACATTCTTTGTCATACCATGGCTTATGGGGTATGTGTGAAAGGCTGTCATAAAATCGAGCAAGGCCAGTCGAGAGTGCAACATCCGTAATAGTGTTAACCAGGGTGGGATATGCGATGGAGCGTGATGCAAGTAGTGCAGTGCAGTGTGTATGCAAAGTCTCCTGAAATACTTGGTATTTGTCGCTCTTCCTTGCGAATTTAATGATATGCGGTATAGGGAGTTGGTACTGGTGGGAAGAACCTTGCCATGTGAGTTTGTATGGGTGATGATGGGATATTGGGACGCTGAGCGTGCCACAGCTATGAGTCACAGCTGCGATAGTTGGTGAACAAAAAACGAGGTCAATTACACTTTTTCCCTGTTTGGATACGAAAGTAAATTCTCCACTCAAATCCCCTTCAAAGCGTCCATTTACGCATACTAGATCGTTGTCCGTCATAAAGTTTATTACGGTTTCACCTCGGGGGGTTGAGATTTGATCCTGAGATTTCCGGAGTTGGGGACATGGGGAATGTTTGTAAGTTAATGAGTGATCCCTGTGAGCTTATCCTGGCGTTAAAATCGTCACCAAGGATATGATGATGGTTGGGGTGCTTTTCTAAGATCTCCTCGAGGGTTGAGGTGGTCCATCAAGGTCAGTTCTCCTTCTCGGGTTGGGGGAAAGTAAAAGCTTCCTATTACGTATAATACGCCTGTGTGACTGCACTTAGCTTCAATGATGATGGCTGAGTCGGTCGTAAGGAGGGTGGAGATGAGCGTGAAGAATTTCGGATTGAGGAGGAGAATTAGCCCCTTTTTGGGCGACCGACAGGTGGTTTTATGGCTTTTTGCTCGATCAGCAGAAATTGCGGGAATAGCGAAGCGACGACAGGGTCTTGGGTGTGCCAGGTTTCGGAGAGGCAAACAATAGCAGAGTTAGTAAAAGCAGATAGATCGTGTGCACTTAAACTATATATACTGTAATAATTCTCTACGTTGAAGAAAATAATGTTTAGCAAAAGATTGGAAATAGGATTTATGCTTATCTGATCCTTCGTAGGCCGACGTCCTCATGGGATAATGGTGATGCCAGTGGGGGTCCACTTGTACTTCTTGTCAACGACACCGGCCTTCCTGGTGGTGAGTATGTCCTTTCGAATCGTGCCCATTGTGGTGGGGCCGGTGACCCTCAGTTCGCGTAGTTTCGCTCGTAGCTCACCAGCAGTTTTACGTTCCTCTTTCGTCATATCTTCATTGATGTAAACTTGTGCGAATTTCCCGGTTTTGCTTGCGTAAAGTTGCTTTTTCTGGGCGAAAAGTGTCCATTTGTCACGTGATCGGAGAAGTTTTACAATGACAGGACGTGGTCCTTTCCCGGCGGTAGCCTTGCCCACGCGAAATGCTTTATCAAAGTCAAAACTGGCGATGCCCATTGCTGTTGTCATCTCTAGAAGGGTGGCGGTGAGAGTTGCCATCGTCTCTTTTGTAGCCTCAGGTAGTCCGGTAATTACAACTGCTTTATGGCGGTCTGGGGCAGGTGTGGGAGGGCTGATCGACTCCAACGATCATGGTATCCTATAGAGATAAACAGTTCCAATGTTAGTTATTCAGTATAGGACGGGGCTGGAATGATGTGATTGGCTGGTTCGCAGTTCAAATTTCTCCATATATTTTTGATGCCGCATAAATGAAGCCGTAGCACTCGCTGCGCACCATCCGTCTCACTTTACCCTTTACCATCTCTTCTCATCACACTTTATATTTTACGTCCCAGAACAAAAAAACAAAAAAACAGTTTTTCGTGCTTCGGTGTCTACCACACCCACCATCATCAATTATTAAGTAAGTTTAACGACAAGATATGTCAGAGCAGTTTTACAACCATGCTCAGGATTTAATGTGACTTGATTTTTGTACAGATTTTCGTCATCTCGAATGGAGAATTTTTGCGACTTTCTAAGTTCGAATAATTAATTAAAAACTGAAAGTTGTTGTGATGCAGATTTACAACCAAATTTATTGCAACAAAAATTGATTTAGCATAAATACAATTTTACTAACTTTACGTTTGAGAAACATCTAAATAACAACTAAAAAAATATACTCCACCGCCGTGTTGTCACCACTGAAAGTGTGTATCCACCGGCAATATTGATAAAGCAATTGTTATCTAATGTGAATAAAACATCTTTGTTGTTTATAGATTTAATAATGCATCTTCACCAATAAAAACAACTTTGCCGTAATAACCAAACATCGAAATAATTTCCCGGTTGCAAAATATTTTATTATAAATAGTAGCAATAATTTTCGTGCCTTGAGTATATAAGGAAAATGGAAACAGTTGAATGTGGTTCTGATTCTTCTACTTCAAACTGTAGTGAAACTTATTTCTAATCTTTATCTTCTTGTTCATATAAAGGATAAATTAACCCACCCCCCTTTCGGTGGAGACACAGACAATGGTGAAGACACAAATGGGGTGGAGAGGTCGGTAAAACTCTTTGAGAAATTTCTTGAAGGTGGCTAAAAGTGTTTGCTGCAAACGACAGTTTTATGTGATACGTTTTCCTTATCGATGTCGAGAATTTTACACCACTGCTGGAACCTTTAAAAAAACTAAAATTAGCTATCAGAGGAAAAAAGAATGAGAGAAATGAGTTATTTTGCATCGGAAGTTCTGACGCTTTGGCAGAAAGGAGTAATTACGATTTTCTTGGTTTCAAGAATTATCACAATTAGTACCGCAACACTTTATATTTCGGACCGTGACAAACGACGGTTTATTAAATTCAAATAAATGTTTTGAGCAACTGGATTTCCTGCGAAAAATAACAAGCAATTAGTAATTTGAAACCTGCTTGAAACAAATAACGTGTTTTCACCATATTTATGTGTCTCCACCGTTAATTGTTTATTTTAAGAAGATTTTGAAGAAGGTTTTGATAAAGTCACACTGAATTTGAGTACATGAAGGCGAATCTGTAATTAAAATGAACGTGTTTCCACCATATACATGTGTGTGTCCACCGTTCGTTGCTTTTTTAATTTTTGGAGATAATAAACTATTATTTTAATATTATGGTTGAACCTGGTAAACTTTACTGAAGTTCCTGAGAATTTCACACTATTCCCGAGTCACGAACAAGGTCTCATAGTAATTGATGAGTCTGTAATTAAACAAAATAACAAGGAAATATTGATATAACAGTTGCTTGCAATAATGAACGTGTTTCCACCATATTAATGTGTCTCCACCGTTCATTATTATATAATTTGAATTTGCTTTGTATAAACGCACACTGATAGATCAGATAAATTGACCGGTGGAGACACGGATCTGGTGGAGGAAGGGGCAATAGGTCACAATATTGAGTAACAATTGGCACAAATATTATATCTGCAATTCACAAAAATAAATTTAGTGGAACTTAATTTCCAACAATGAGCGTGTTTTCACCATACATGAATGTACATATATGTGTATTCACCGTTCATTATATGAGAAACTATTTTTGAATCTTGTAAAACTTTAACGAAGTTTCCGACAATTTCACACTGTTACCAGGTCACGAACAACAACTAATGGTAATTGATGAGTGTATACTTCAATAAAATATAGTGCATTACGAAATACAAGTTCCTTGGTCCTTATTGTTGCAGAATCCAGTTAAAGTTGTTATTTACCAGGTTGGCCGGCGATGACACAGATTTCTGGTGGGGGCACGGCAGAGAGGTCGCAAAATTAATGGATGAAAAATTGTCCTTAGCAGTTACCTGAACAAATAAATCGCAATAAATTAACATCCAAATCACTCGTAAAAATGAACGTGTCACCACCATATTTGTGTCCCCACCGTTCATTGTTGAAAGAAAATAGTAATTCTTTTACTACTTACCGAGAGTTGAAGCTTAGAGCTTAACTTGTGGTGAGTTGAACCGATTTATGTAATTGAGTGGATGTCAGAAAATTAATTTGTAGGATATTAAATAATCTTTTAATTACTCAGCTTTTCCGAGTTTGGCAGCAATAATGATGGTAAAGGAGACACCTGATTTTGGTGCCAAGAAAGGAGTGAGATTTCCAAGTAATGGGAAATTGAGATTGGGAAAAATTGAGTTGTGCCAAGGCCCTGTTTTTATGGGCGGATGCCCATAAAAACCGTCAGCCAATCACAGCATTTGGAACCCCATTTCCCTATACTGAAACAATAACCATATCTTCATCCTTCTTTAAGTGATCTGTATTCGCTGGATCGACTCCAGTTTAGCTACCTGTGCTTCTAAGGTGTGCATTTTCGATTCGAGGTCCTGTAGTTTTGTGGTGATGGTCGTAAGGGGTGCGATGGCTTCCTCTATTTTCTTCACAAAAGTGAGCATTGTCTGATTGATTGCACTATTAATGAGCTCCTGGATTTCCAGTTTGGTGTAATTGAAGCTGGTGGACTCCGTATCTGACATGTCCTGGTCTTCGATTACAACGTCATCCCGGGTACGTTTGGGTGTAGGTTTGGCTTTTGATTTGGATCCTCTGGGGGAAGGCATGATGAAGGAGTTCAGAGTTGGATGGAGGCACTTTGAGACAATAGTATGGGAGATGTGTGTGAATGAGTGAGTGAGTGTAGTAAAGTGACTTGGGAGCTCTGTCTCGTGTGTGTGTGTACTCGACCGCAGACAAATCGGAACTAAAAAAAACTGAGGTTTTAGAATATACTTATAAGTATATTCTAAAACCTCAGTCGGCCGATTTATTTATTTACAAACTGCAGACTTGGTTCAATTCATTTTATTTTTCAAGGTTTCATAAGTAAGTAACTCTTATTTATCGTGTGAGTGGTGTTTAAGTAGAAGAATTTGTGTCTTATTCATAGTTTTTTGTTTGTTAATACAAACAAACATTCGTTCAGCATTTGATAGCTTAGACCGTTCATTGTTAATTAGTAAGTTAATGTATCAATTCAATTTAAATCCTACGTACATTAGTACCCTATACAATTATATGAACCATAGATGCTTTAAATTTAAGAATAGTCATCAATATTTTGATAACCCTACAGGCGTGGTACAGGGGGCTGCGGGTAGTGGTTTATATTACTCAGCGTACCAAGATGATATACACAAAGTTATCAATATCCCTTTTCTATTATATGTTGATGACCTTGTTATTTATATTGCTGGTCATGACATTGAAACAATGATGAAAGTTATTATTGAGCAAGCAAATCTCATCCAAAAATGGTATGACGACAATAACCTTAATATTAACTATTCAAAGACCAAGTTCCAAATTTTTCGTAAACCAAATTTCTTTGTTCCTCCCTCTTTTACTACCCCACTCATTTTGGAGAATGGTCAAGCAATTGAGTATGTCAATTCATTCAAGTATTTAGGAGTAAACTTAGACTCCAATTTAAATTTTCGTGAGCACTACAACTCTGTCACGAAGAAAGTCTCGAATAACTTAGGTTATTTGCATGGGGTCAAGCGTCACCTCACTGACAAAGTCATGGCCATTATGATTAATAGCCATATACACTCTGTTATTGACTATTGTGTAGATATTTGGGCTATTCATTCTGACATACAACTAGACAATATACAACGAAAAATCAACTCTTTTCTCGTAAAATTTATGATTCCTTCGTTAGCTAGAAAATTTCGGTACAAAAAACACGCTCGTTTCAAAGTTAGTGGTCAATCTATCAATATTAATGACTTACTTGTTAAATCTCTTAACAATTCGTGAGCGTCGTGATCTCTTTCTGTACAAATATGCCTTCAAATATTTGCAAGCTCACAAGAGTTCTTCTGTTACTAGACGCACGTGGCCCCTTCTCACCGTTCATTCTTGTAATTTCGCTCAAAAGTCCATAAAATATCGTGCTATTGCACTTTGGAATAAGCTCCCAAGAGATTGGGACCCAAAGATTAGTTACGCCCAATTTGTTAAAGCCGTACGTGAACTCATTATTCTCAACCGTAATGATATGTTTTTTTACTATTAGTTATTTTAGTTCGCTTACATAGTTATATTGCTTATTTGTGTCATAGAATTTAAACCAGTTTTTGTAAACTGATTTCTATTAACACTTGAAAAAAGGTTTAAATCAAATCAAATCAAATAAATAAATGAAACACGAATCTCAATGAAGTATGTGCATATGCTGATTGGCTGTGATGATGACACATGTACATGAAACTAACTTAACATAATGTTTGTTTTATGCATGTCCAAATTTCGAAATATCATCCCAAGTCAAATACTGGAGGAGGAAAGATTCAAGAAATCTGCACATCTCGTTCCATTCATTTTATTCGTAACCTGAAATAAAATGCATCCAATAGTACTTGTCGTGAGTATTTGTTTCCGTCTGTGGCGTCAAGGTCGAATGAGTTCAGGTGGATTTTAATTGAAAAATATGGAGCTCTGATTAAGAGGTAAGCAAGGAGAAATTGTTTGATGAGGAAGTGAGGTCCACTTTTTTGGAGAGAGGATGACGGAAATATATGTAAGAATAGAACAGAATAATAATTAATCTGCAGAAGAGAAAATATACCGTTTGAGTTGCAATTTGCATAAGATGAAACTGCACTCAAGGGGTTCAAACTGGATTATCTGGATGCGATTTTGAGGTTAGGACGTGATAGTGCACAATAAAATTTTTACATGGTTTGAGACCAAACCCAGGAAACATATCTACTGTAGGTTCGGTAATTTTTTGTTACCATAATTGGAAATGAGTGAATATGGAATACAAATATTTGCATATTACATATTGAAGTAGGAATAAATCTGATGGTCATATTGAGTGTGATGATTTAACTATTATGCATTTCATCACGTTGGGAAAGTACGTTTACAGGAAAAGCGAATTCAGAATGATTTTGAAAAAGTAATTCCCATTTGAAGTTTTTGATAAATAATTTTTGATAAGCAATAAAGACAAATCGTATTTTGGAGTAACTTGGGAAGTAAATTATTGACAAGAATGCGTAATGGAAAGATATACAATTAATTTCAATGCGAGCATTAAGCTCAAAGGGTATGTTGCACGTTTTCAGAAATTGCGTTACATGAGCTGCTTTTTATGAATAATTTCCTTCGTAAAAGAATAATTTGCGAAATAAATAAAACAAACTGTAATAATGCAACAAAATTTAGTACATTAAAAATGTATGTGCGTAGGATATCTTTTTGATTAATTAAATAGCATCCTTTAATTAACTTATCTTAATTAGTTCATAAAAATATAGTTTGTTTATCGGTTAGCACACAACTTAATTATTTTTTCTCGGCCAAATATTGGCTAATATTGCAAAAAATGCGTAATAAATCATCAAATCAATAATAGATAAAATAGTAAGTACGGATTTGTGAGTCGTTTCGCAAAAGTGCAAAATACAGTTAAGTAAGTAACTTACATACAATAAATACAAGTTTAATTAATGAGATTAACGGAAATATGGGTAAATTATGATTCAGTCAATCGCAAAAATGGTGACTTTACGCCAAAGTTATATTGAGCTTAACGATCGCTTTGCCCCTGTCGCTCATCGTCCCTCGGATTTGGTAAGCCCCATCCGTCGCCCACATGGGGACACCGTCATTCGCCAAACTGTGGGCACGACCTCCCCTGTGGTAAAAGTCGGCGTCCTGATACATCCTGTCGAAGAGGAGCGTGACCTCGTTCTCCTCTTCGTCCTCCGAGTGTGTGAAAAGGGCCTAGTTCTCCAAGTCGAAACCCCGTCACGATCGCGGTTCCGAAATGGTTTCGGTACTGGAGTTGGTTGTACGGGACGGAAAATATGACCGCGACGCGCCTCGGAGAGTCCCCGATTTGGTATGTCAACACCCCGATGACGCCGTGGGGAGAGGATCTGTGGATACAACTGTAAAAAAGACGAGTAAGAAATTTTTTGGGAAGATTGAGATATATTTCCAAGAAAAAATTTCAACTCACGGATTTTTAGAGAAAACGCACGCCTCCCTCGTACCGGATTGGATAACTGCGGGGAGTGGGTAGTACAAACCTCCGTCGAAACAGTAGAATTGTGAGATTAAGAAAAAAATCTTCGGTAAAACATTTTGCAAAATTTTCTACTTTTTTTTACAACACATTGATGTTCTGTTTTCTCAATTAAAACACTCACAGATCTGAACTGAATAGTACACGTTCCATTGCTCCTCATGCCATTGGAAATGATTTCCGCAGTGTTTCCTCCAAACATGGTGTGACCTGCGAAAGTGGTGGTGAGGAATGAGGGAGATTTCGTCACGGCCTGTTTTCTCCCCCGCGGTGGGGACACTTGGTCCGGAATTACGATGGGAAGCACACGTTCCATTTTATTTCTGTTTTTTGCACAATTTTTTATCGGCATTTATAATTCCACCCCCACCCCCACCCAAATCCAAATCCAAATCGTCCTGCGAAAATATCTAAATATGTTCCTTGTCCGTTGGCATGCCACACAAATGTTAATTCGATTAAAATATAGACAACATGAAGAAATCACAATTTCAAATTCTGCCTGTGTCACGTCTGCCTCATCACCCAGAAGATTTTCCTCTGTATCATTGTAATCTGTGTGTATCGTCAAGATCGTCATCATGAGTGAAGAAGGAGCAGCAGCAGGGGGTGCGGCAGGTGAGGGTGGTGCAGGGGATGTTGAAGAGGTAAATTTTTCGTGGGTTTTAGCTTCATTATTATTATTACTATTAAATACATCTTATTGTGGTAATAATTTGACGCTTCTCATATAATTCTAGTTCGTGTTGGAGACAGCCCCTTTCGACCCTCGTTTTCCGAACCAGAATCAGACCAAGCACTGCTACACGAGCTTTTTGGACCACAAACGATGCGTCAAAGCTAGAGGAGAGGAATTTGCTGCGTGCGACTACTTCCGACGCGTAATTATTTTTATAGTTTGTACTGTTGTATGCATGGTCAAAATACTTGTCGAACTACAGTGTTTTGAGCTGGTTTGTTCCCAGGGTTTGGATTTCAAGGGCGAAGGGCTATTCCTATTCCACCCACAAAAAGACGAAAATCTACGTGAAGATGAAAGGATAGGTTTTTTTTAAGAAATTCAATTTTTACCCGTCTCATTCCCTGTCAAAATTAATTTTTTGAAGTCGCGGAAACAATGGATTTTCACAATGGAAAAGATAATTTCTTTAAAAATCATTCGTATGACCGGCGTATTATTCATGTGTAGATTTTCGTCTTTTTGTGGGTCTGAAATTCAGACTCTGAATCCAAACCCTGGGAAGAACGGAGCTCAAAATACTCTGTTTTGACAAATTATTTCGCCCACCTGTTATTTATTCAGGTCTTTTAAACCATTTTAAGGTGTACACATCCCTCTGTCCAAACGCGTGGGTGGCCAAATGGGAGGAGCAAATCCAGGCGGGGACCTTTCCAGGAAATATTTAGTAAAATTTGATCTGTACAAATTTCGATAATCATCATGTCATTCAAAATTGTACCGTCTCTTTAATCTGGCTTTACATACTTGTTAAACAAAATAAGAATATGAGCATTTGTTATGATTGAGTAGTAGAAGGGAAGCATATGAATAAAATCACGATAATTTATTGATTCCTGATCCTGCATGATTTATTTAGTTACAACTTTATTACGGGAATATTGGAACGGTGTACATTTCCATTTATAATGAGATTCAGTCATGCGTTTGCTATAAATATTTGCATCAATCCATCAAAAATTCACCTTCAACTGTTTCAATGTCATCAACATGTACATACATTTATTTACTTATTTCATTTCATTCTTCTTGGGTTTTGATTTTGAATTAAAGATTTACGAATTTTGTGTGCACGATTTTTGTGCGTATTTAGAAATTAGAAATGAAAAGTGTTAAGTATTCCATAGTTCTTTTCGGTATATTAAATTTTTGGATTGATTCCGGTGATAGCATGGCGTGGGAATGTCTCTCCTTAAAATGTCCGCAATGCGACAGGAATTTTCGCATTTTCGACCCCATTTGTGCCTCTAATCGCATCACATATCCGAACGAATGTTGGGTGAATTGTTACAATGAGAAAAGAGAGTGTGGAGGTGAACAGGGTAAAAAATATGGCAAAAATAATTACTGAAAAATAATTATTAAACATAATGATGCATTAAATTAAAAAAAATATAATTGCATAATTAGAAATCACCATCAGACATCGGGGACATTGTCCCATTACGAGGAGACCCAGAAAACCTTACTTCGTTGGAACATTGACCACCACGACGGAAAATTATCTAGTTTCAGATTCAACTCCAAGAATAATTTGTAATCTGGAATATTGCACGTGTCCAATCGTTCAGAACTATATTTGCGGTATTTGCGTACAATTTTGCTTATAATAGAGGTCTCCCAGCGTATCTTATCAGATTTTGACCAAATTCGTGTCAATCGGGCACATATAATTTGTATAAAATTTGCAAAAGATACGATTTCGGAGTGAAGTAGAAAATTTTACACTTTCCAGATTTACTGCGCATTTTCTCCACTTCGGATGAAAATATCCTTGCCAAACTCTCTCTCTCATACAAATCATACTTATTTTTGACCGATTGACACAAATTTGGTAAAAATCGGTGAACATACGCTGGGAGGCATTCATTGTTAGTCTAGCGGATCTTAAAAAAACTTATTTGTGTATTTCGCATACTGTCCAGGGTCTGATGGAATCACGTACGTCAACCCATGTTATTTCCGATGTGCTCGAAGATGTTTTCGAGGTAAATGCCATCCACTATGTGCAGATATGAATGTGACAATTTTCTAATAAAAAATTATGCACATGCTCAGATTTGCAATTTTCCAAATGCGGCCATTGTTCCAGAACCTGGTCACAACCAAGTCATCAATGTCTCATCGCACTTTCGTATGAAATTTCAACACAAAATTCAATACTTTGAATAAACTCATCAGCATTATTTTATTACTGTAACAAACGTATGTATTATAAAACCGAAATTTTCTTTAAAAACTGTCTTTGTATTCGTACAACATGGTTTGATTTTTTTGATATTGAGTTCTGAGATGTATTTATACCTTTGATGGATTGTTCTTTGAAATACCCTGCAACAAACACATTTCATTTCGTGGTCATTCTACATTTCGCTTTTTAACGTAGGACTCGGTGACTCTTCACCAAAATCCACACATTTTTAATCATTTCTGGAAATCTATTTTAAAATTCTGGACGACAAATTTTTAGTCAGTAAGTTGATTAATGAAATGGCTGTGAGTTTTTTAAGCTAGTTTCGACGAGTTCCAATTTTTCTGAAGGCTTCTTAAGCTTGAGATCTCCTCCTTCAAAAAGTGTCAAAATCTGGAGTGTATATTCTTAAAAGATTGGGAACGACCTGCTCTACAAATTTGTCGTCCAGAATTTTAAAATAAATTCCCAAAAAATGTGCTTTTAGCGATGAGTCAGGTCGACCCCGACATTAACAAATAAACAAACATTGAACGGTAAAAATTAGACTAGAACATTTTTATGAACAAACAATTATATGTATTACCTACGCAAATAATAATGGCGTACGTACAAAAACACCTCGATTTGGCATCCACTATTGTCAGAATAATAAATATGTATGCGACATATGTACACATTTTAAGTGGAAAATGTTAAAGCTAGCGTGCTTATCTAGTCTTATCGGTGGTTACAAATATTTAGTTTGTATACGACTTACTTTACCCAGTCCAAACATTTATTGGCCTTAGCAAATCGTCATTAGGTTTTTAATGCGACTACTGAATGTCATTATTTTGAGCTCTCCCCGTTAACATTAGACAAATGCAACAGTTTTTTTTACTTAAATTTAAGTATACTTAATCAAAATGCGAACTTAAAACGGGAAAACAATTCTTAAATTTACCTTATCATTTTATACTTATCTAAGTAGTAATACTTTAATGATCATCACAATTATACTCTCACTTTGTGGGTGTGGATTTATACAACCCGACAATTTATGTACGTTGGACAGTGAATTACGTTATGACACGGATATGATGAATGGTTATTTATACGTATATTTTGCATAATTCTAAAATTCCTTAAAACTAACTTATTTAATTTATCACTTTATCTTTATAAATTTCTGCCTACAAAACTAGTGTATGCATCTAGAGAAGCGTCATTAATTAATTCATAGTTGTGTAAGTATTTGCCAGAGCTGCTAACTCGATACACGCAAAAATTGTCGTCAAAACGGACAATTTTAAATGATTCTACAGTATAATTTTCGATTTAAGTATTATTGCCATTTTCGATATGAATCGAGTTATTTTAGTTATTTTTTTGTTTTCTATATTGCAAATTCTTTGATTGATCTTATCCTTATTCTTTGATGATATTGAATATGTTATGTGTCACATATATTTAGAGGGTGAGCAATAAAGAATGCCAAAGTTTTCCATTAAATTAAAATTCGTTGAGCCGACGAAATTTTATGAAATTTTTCAATAAGCTGAATCAAAACAGTGGTGTTTGCGACTTGCTCCGCATTTTGTGCTTTCATTTTTTGCATCGCCCTTTGAAGTACAAACAATGGAGGTCTCCGAGCGTATGCTCGATTCGCACTGCCAATCGATCGCAAATTTAATTAATATGAAATTTGCAAAAGACGCGATTTCCCAATGGTCACGTTTGGCAGAGACATTTGCATCTGAAGAGGAGAAAATGCGTCTAAAAGTTGGCAAATTTTGCACTTTCCAAGCAGTCCAGAATACCAAGCTGGCTCATACGCCTCCTTGTTACATACCTTCAATGTATTAGACTTTCGGGCCGGTTAAAATTCTAGATGCCCATAGGGACTTAATTTAGTTTTAACGGTATTTGGGCTAGAATTCAAAATTTAAGCATTTTTTACCTTCCTATGCATGACACAACAAGTTTTTTCGATATTTGACCTGTTTTTCGCCATGCTAAGGCCGCCCCATTTAGAGTTGGTCGATTGGCCTAAAATTCAAAATTTAAGAATTTCTGCCCTTCCTATTTATAAAAAACTCAGTTTTTTCGACATTCGACGTTTTGTCATGCATAGGAAGGTAAAAAATGCCTAAATTTTGAATTCTAGCCCAAATACCGTAAACAATTAATTAAGTCCCTATGGGCATCTAGAATTTTAACCGGCCCGAAAGTCTAATACATTGAAGGTATTTAGCAAGGAGGCGTATGAGCCAGCTTGGTATTCTGGACTGTTTCCAAGGATATTGAGCATTTTCTCTTCTTCGGATGCAAATGTCTCTGCCAAACGTGCCCATTGGGAGGTCGTGTCTTCCGCAAATTTCATACTAATTAAATTTGTGACCAATTGACACTATTTTGCTCAAAATCTGGGAGCATACGCTGGGAGACCTCCATTCTGAGTTCTGATGGCTTTTCTCATATTTACTTATCTGAATTTGAAGAGCTTAAGCATTCTTTACTTTATTTCTCACCCTCTAACACATACATAGTGCGTTTGTTTCCTTGTACTAACTTGTGTGATGATAATAATAGCTCGTGGTTCATCATTCCAATATTTCATATAAGTCGTCGTTGTTGTTCGGCATGATGATGATTAAGCAATGCAAAATGTCATGACGTTTCAAACGTAGGAGGATTTGAAGTGGACTCTAAATAAGTGAAGAAATGTCCATATAAAGTAACAATAAAAAACTCACCCTCACTCCCCATTTACATATTTGTCTCCCTACTCACTCACCTGTCTTTTCGAAATATCAGTCAACACGATAATTCGGTTCGACCGACATGCCAAACCACTTTGGAACGATTTTGACTCTCGGCTTGAAAAAGTGTCCGCGTGCGTGAATGCTAAAGAAAAACATGAAAGATCCATGTAATACCGGGCAAAATGTCGCTCAGCAATATTGCTCCGTATTAATATTGATTCGCGATCAATAACCACACACTTTAAACTTTTACACTTACATAAATAAGGAATGGATAAACGTGGCATAACCCGCGAGAAGGTGCCACCTAAAAATGTACATGAATTTTTTAGGAAAACATTGAATATTCCCAATTACTTAAAAGTTCGAATTGCTATTTTGGAAGTGGCCTTCCCATCATTTAATACTTTACATACACTCAATCCCCCCCCCCCAAATTTTTGAGTAGGGATTAAACTTTGAAGAATCACGACCGGAAATGAACCTTACCATGCGTGCAGCTGGGTCAAAGGTCGAAGCGATGTTGGCAGTTGACTTCGGAGTTCACTGAAATATGCAAGCATTTGTTTGTCCATTAGTATCATAGCACAGGTAAGCACATATCGTCACTCTGCACTCACTCAGTCATTATTATCAACAAAATAATACAACAAAATCAATAATTATTATTCCGGAACAACAGAACCTAATACTTCTACCTGACTCTCTATCAGTGGCCGCGGAAGCCGTGGGGACATTAACATTATAGGATAGGGGAGGGAGGGGTTTATATAACATGGGCGGATGATGGGGACATCGAACAACCGTGGGGACATTGCCCCTCTGCCCCACACGCCACTTCCGCGGCCACTGCTCTGCTCGCTATCTATCTCTTTGTGACGATGAACCTTCCCAGAACAAAACAAATATTCGTCGTCGTCGTCGTCGCAGCAGAATCAATATTTACACAAGTTCCGTGACTGAAATTAAACCACGTTTATATATTCATACTAATTCATAGGCTGGTGAGTGAACAACCTAACCTGGCTGCCTGACTGAGAGAATAATGCGAATGTTGGATTTGTTGAGGGCGGAGACGAGTGCATGATCAAATATTCAGAGAAAAAAAAGAGCGTTGGGTTGCATGAAACTGCAACTTATTAAATTAATGGACTTGACAAGAACACGGGGATGAACGCACAAAAATTACATAGCAAGACCTAAGCATTTGTTCGTTATTTTATTTAAATATGCCTTCTTTTTTACTTACTGCTGTGGGATCGGAGTAATGGTCAATTATTTTTATATGTATTGAAGTGGTTTATTTTTGGAGTAAATAAGCCTTGTCTTTTTTTTGGTTGGATGAAAACGCATACATATGTAAATTGGGATAAAAATGAAATGTGATATTACACTTACGTGATCTGAGAACAGAGTTGGTTATCAATGTTCCAAACTCCAAAACTAAAATAGAACGTCCAATTATAGACATTGTTTCGGTTTGGTAAGACAATTTTCGGAAAATTCGTACCCAAATGTGTACAGGAAAAATCCAGCAGACAGTAATTTGGTGCAGGTTCTGCATTGATTGAAATTGACCAATCGTAAATCCAGGGATAACACGACTAGGACTCCCATACCGTACATGACCTGAAACCGGAAGTAAAAACATATAAATAAATACATGCTTTCATCTTATGTAAGCATGAAAAATGGACATCACGCACCTGATGAATCACTGGATTCTTCAGGGACAAATAGAGACCACAAAAGATTACGAAATATGCGGCACATAGGACAATCATGGACCAATTTATATCTCGCTTTGCCGACTTTCGAATTTCTGAGAGTTGGTAGATGAGCACTGTGTTTCCCAAAACCATTGGGAGCTATGCGCAAATGTGTCAGAGATTATTTTATGCAAATATTTTCGCAAAATCAATAAATCTGCCCGTCAACCTACCTCGTCGAGGAGTTGCATTGAGTACCTGTAGCAAATACATACCCATTAGTACGGATTAACCAAGTAAATAAGTGCACCCAGTGGCTGCGGAAGCCGTGGGGACATTAACATTTTAGGATAGGGGAGGGAGGGGTTTATATAACATGGGCAGATGATGGGGACATCAATTAACCGTGGGGACATTGTCCCTTGGTCCCACGCTTCCGCGTCTCACATTTCCAGTGCACCACATTTCTCAACTTGTACTATGTAAATTATCATACCTAAGCGTCATGTGGAAGGCCCACGAGCCCACACCGACCACTAACGTTCAAAAACAAGCGGTCACCAAAAATTTCAAAATTCAATCGCCATTTCAAATTTTGTTTTAAATTTTACTTACACATAATGGACGCCATCGTCAGAACAAATTTTCTCTCTAAACCGTGTCGCATAATTTGATAGATTCCGATCAGCGGTGGTATGATCATTCCCAGATTGCTTAGCGTGTTCCCTGTAATAGAGCGTAAACCTCGCATAATTAGACCACCACAAAATCAAAATTTCTCCATGTTATTCATGCATATGTCTAGAAAGAAATTGAGCACTCACAAAATTCCGCGATGAAGGGGCTGACTTCGTAGTTGATCTCGCACCAGTCGAGGGTAGAGGTGGGTGTGCCCCAAAATGGTTCAGGGCGTGTCGGAGCCATGATCTGGCTGCGTAAGAATAAGAAGAATGGTACAGAATTTTTATATATTTTAGACACGACGAGAGCGATTATGATAATGATAACGAATCCATGTATGTATTTAATACCATGCATGGACTAAATATTTTCCCAGGAAGTGGGTTATCTTTATTATACAGAAGATACAAACCTTATCGTAACGACGACTATAGTGACCAAATCTCTCCGAGTTTCCCTTCCTCTTCAGCTGATATCAGTTTCTCGTGTGTGACTTTGATTTCAAAACCCGAGAAATGCCTGCGACACGACACGAGAGTGATGCTGTCCCTCAAAATCTCGCCAAAGTCTGGAAATTGATGAGACCAGCAGGTTTCCTGGGTTTTATACGTATGTATTTATTTTTGGACAAGTCTGTGGTGGAGAAAGTGCTATATTTACCTCCACTCACTTTCACCAGCTACTTTCACCTGACCCGATCCGACTTGGAGTGAGTGAGAGTGAAATAGCATGGCATGCAGAGGTGCAGCTTTTGTCGTCCTCCTCCGACCGACTCAAACTCCCGAGTGAGCTGAATCGCAGCCAATGTAGCAAGCAAAACCACCAACTTGCCGTGGATGCATATGTACTAACCGATCTGGGAGTTTGGCCGATAAATTCATGCACTTTAATATCACATCCCACACCCGTTTACCAACCAACCACATGCATACATACATAGCACCTACCTGGTGTGGAAGCTACTTAATTAATCAACCATGTACCATTTAATTAACAGCTAACGGGAAGTGACAACGGGAATGTGGGATGACAGTTGACAAAAAGTGGCAATTTGCATACACAAATAATACAAATGTATGCATTTTCAGATTTGTGTTTTATTACTAGTCAAGTTTATTGTAAATCATAAATATTCCTTGGTTGAAATACATACATGAGAAAAATTCTTAAATATCAAATCATAAATATAACGCAGATCAGCATCACACTTGAACAGGTAACGTAAATGCATAAAGCAGACTAATTTGGTTCATTTGATTGACGACGAGATGGAGAAATTAAAGAGATGCTACAACACCTTGGTTGTCTGTAATATTATAAAAAGTTAGATATGAAGCACGACAAGAATCGTGCGAACGAACTCTTAATTGTGTTGTGTGAGAAAGAAATAAAGTAAAATCTAATGAATTATTGATAAGGCACAAAAACCTCCGTACTTAAAAAGTAATACAAAGTAGTAGGATGAGAAATTTATGGTTTAGTTGCTTTTTAAGCACTGCACATTAAGCATTCGTCCTTGTTCTGGAGAGAGCACACCATTCCTTCAACTTCTTCCTCCTTGGACTTGAGCTTGGTTTTGTCCACGGTGAATTGAATAGCATTTGCGGCTGGTTTAGTACGCAAGTAGTACATTCCAGTCTTGAGACCCTGATAAAAGAATGCGAATAAATATTAAAAACACAGAAGCATGAAAGGAATTTACTGAGTCTAAAATTAATATAGCCAACCAAGATACCTTTTTCCATGCGTAGAAATGCATTGATGTCAACTTGGCGAAACTGGGTGCTGCAATGTGAAGATTCAGCGATTGTGACTGATCAATGAAAGCTCCACGATCGGCTGCCATGTCAATGACGTCTCGTTGAGAAATTTCCCAAACGGTTTTATACAAAGCCTTAAGGTCATCCGGGATTTCTGCGATATCTTTCACCGATCCGTTCGCAGCAATGAGTTGATTCTTCATGTCAGGATTCCAGAGACCTCGTTCAGTCAGATCTTTGAGGTAAAAAAATAAGAATTATCAATATCCCAGACAATATGGAAAGTAATACTTTCCATATTGTGGTCAAGATATCAATTACATCCCATGTCGAATCGAATAAAAATTGTTTCGCATGGTGAATAAAAACAATTCTCTTATTTTATAGTTCTCGAGTTACCTTTGAGGAGGTGAGGGTTCACAATCTGGGGCACATAAATAATGTTACAAAATCAAAATTCGACAATCATTTTAGATTAAATAACGATCTACCTGGAATTCTCCAGACAATACGCGTCTCGTGTAAATGTTTGAAGTGTAAGCTTCAATGGATTCATTGTTGCCCAAAATCTGAGCAGTAGAAGCGGTGGGCATGGGTGCCAAAAGTAGAGAATTTCGGAGTCCATGCTGTGCAATCTTTTCCTTTAAAGCAGCCCAATCCCATAAATCGGTCGGAGTCACACCCCACATGTCATACTGCAAAATCTGTTGATTGGAAATTGACAAAATGATTAATTTAGTTACAATTAATAAGTATGTTATTTGCTACGGCGGACTCACCCCTTTGCTGACTGGACATCCTGCGTAAGTCTCGTAAGGACCAAGCGTCTTGGCCAATTCCATACTCGCCTCCAAACTTCCGTAGTAAAGTGTCTCAAAAATTTGAACGTTCAATTTCTTCGCCTCTGGGGAGTCAAACGGAAAGCGCATAAGAATGAAAGCATCAGCCAAACCTTGAACACCAATTCCAATAGGACGGTGACGCTTGTTGGATCGCTCAGTCTGTAAAATTAGTAAATTTTAGTAAAGTCTTAATTAATAAATTAGTTTCGGCAGTCAAAAAGCTAAATCGTTGTAACAATTTATTATAACTTGAACTTACCTCAGGTACAGGGTAATAATTTAGCTCGATGATCTTGTTCAAGTTCTTGGTCAAAACTTTAGTGATATACTTGAGCTTTTCAAAATCAAAAGTTTTATCCGGTTTGACAAACATGTTGACGGCAATTGAGCCCAAGTTGCAGACAGCAATCTCATCAGGAGAAGAATATTCTACAATTTCAGTGCACAGATTGGAGCATTTAATAGTTCCCAAGTTTTTCTGGTTGGATTTGATGTTGCAAGCATCCTTGTACAGCATGTAGGGAGTTCCGGTTTCAATTTGTGACTCGACAATGGCATACCAAAGTTTCTGGGCTGCCACCTTCTTCCTGAATTTTCCTTCACTTTCGTATCTGAGTAATAATTATTTCATTTAGTGTTTATACTTTACCAAACAAAATCTTGAATATGAATTATGATGTGTATCTTACTGCATGTACAACGCATCAAAGTCTTCTCCATAAACTTCACACAATCCAGGTGACTCCGTAGGGCACATCAAACACCAGTCTTCACCGGCTTCAACCCTCCTCATAAAGAGGTCAGGAATCCACATTGCATAGAACAAATCACGAGCTCGATTTTCCTCCTTGCCCGTGTTCTTCTTGAGATCCAAAAATTCGAAAATGTCCGCATGCCAAGGCTCCAAGTAAATTGCGAATGCACCAGGGCGCTGATTTAACAAGCAACAAATCAACAAACATGTCAATAAACACCAACCAACTTCCATGCTTAATTTTATCATTAATTAAGAATAAAAGTTTAATTGATTACCTTATTTCCACCCTGATCAACATACCGCGCCGTATTATTGTACACCCTCAACATGGGGACAAGACCGTTAGAAACTCCATTCGTTCCTCCAATGTACGATCCTGTCGCCCTGATGCAATGAACATTCAGTCCAATCCCACCCGCACTCTTGGAAATGAGGGCACATTGCTTCAACGTGTCGTAAATCCCTTCGATGCTGTCATCCTTCATGGTTAAAAGAAAGCAGGAGGATAACTGGGGACGATTTGTGGCAGCATTGAACAGAGTGGGCGACGCGTGAGTAAACCACTTCTCACCTAAATAAATATTAGTTTTAATTTATCCGGAATCAATGGATTTTTAAGATTCAAAGCTTTAACAAATTCAAAACTTACTCATCAAATTGTAAGTTTCAATCACGGCGTCGATATCTTCCTCATGAACTCCAATGGCGACTCTCATCAACATGTGTTGCGGCCGTTCGACAACTTTGTTATCAATCCTGAGCAAGTAAGACCGCTCCAAGGTCTTAATTAACAAACACATATAAATATATAGCAAAATTGGTCAAACACTAACAATAATTCTGATATTTAAGTCTCTTATCTTTACCTTGAATCCAAAGTAGTTGTAGTTAAAATCTCGATCGTACACGATTGATGAATTCAGCCGGTCCGCATTCTTCTTAATGATCGCCATACAACGGTCCGAAATCATGGGCAAGTGCTTCCCACTCTTCTTATCGACCAAGCGGTACAGATCATTCATAACGTCAGAAAAGCATTTTTTCGACTCTTTATGCAAATTGGAAATTGCAATCCGTGCCGCCAGCAGAGCATAGTCGGGATGTTTCGTCGTCATCGTGGCGGCCGTTTCCGCCGCGAGATTATCCAACTCGACCGTCGTGACACCGGAGTAGAGCCCATTAATGACCTTCTGCGTGATGGCGGGAGCGTCGACAAAGTCCATGTTCAGACCATAGCACAGTTTTTCGATGCGAGACGTAATCTTGTCAAAGTGAACTTCCTCCTGGCGACCGTCTCTTTTGACGACAAACATTTTCTTCCTCCGGTTCCCATCTTTCGCCTCCCCATCGTTCTTGGAGGGACTCAAGGGTGGATTCATGGTGGTGGTGCTGACGACCATTTTTTCGACAAGCTGCAACATAAAAATCAAAAGCATAACATAAATAACTCGTTACTATTTATTATTCCAACCGCATTAATTGCCACCTTGTATATAGCTCCACTCACCGAGAACAAATATCTTATCAAATTCTAATCTAGTAGATAACCAACAGCTCTCTCTCTCCTCCACACTCGGACGAACCGAAATCTGCAATCAATATAAAAAACGTGAAATTAAAATCAGTCATTCATAACGTACCTGCTGCGTTGTAATACACACCTTTGAATTCTTCCTTGTTGCAGCAGTTGATAAGATCTTATGTTGCTTGACTTTATCCTATTTTTGAATATTCGGATAAGTTTGATAAGTGACTGGTTGAGAGAAACGCAGAAGTGTGAATGAAACGAAGTTTCGTTCGTTTGAGGAAATGAAATTCACACCGGCCATCAACACATGGACAAAGACAGCCCGCTCCTTCCACCCGCTATTTCCACCCCGCTTTCTCTTTGTTCACCAAACGTTGGATCAAGATCAAGATTCAACAAGTCTCACTTTTTTGCAAATATTTTTGCACGATATGCAAATAATGCGAGTATGTATATAGAAGGATAAAGAGTTGTTATCAGAAAGGATGCAAGTACTGCATATTTGTTAGAAAAGTCTGAAAAAATCAAACTTTCGAAAATAATTTTTTTTCATGAAACACTCGAAAATGAATGCAAAATCTAAAGCTCCATGAAATAATGTCAAACTTTTTCTTCGAATTTCCACTAAATACTCCGTATACGCATATTATTCAGAAAAAGTATGTCATACTTCTCATAATATCCCAAAATTCTGAAATTCATTAAAATATGGGAAAAAATTTAGTTAACCGTCGGTCTCCGATAGGGTTAAGTGATACGTCATTTTGTTAACCCAACCAGTTAACCCTATTGGAGACCGACGGTTAACTAAAGTCTAGCCAAAATATGTGAGGAGTGAATCACCTTTTCATACATATTTCACTTTTAAGAAAAGTACCATTATTAAACAATATGCTCATTGTACTCATTTACAGTACTTCTATTTCTGGAAAGGTTGAAGGTTCGGATTATGACGTGACATCCCAAAAATAAAATATGACACCAGGGCGAACAACTAAATACGTACATATTTATTAGCTCTAAACTTTTGTCCTTCTTTTGTGTGAAGGGTGCAGCCCTTGAATGAAAGGAAATATAGTAAATTCCGAAGAGCTGAGTCACAACTGAGAGAGAACCCTTTAACATTAACAAAGGAAAGTTTAGGAGGGGATTCGATGAGCCATCATCCAATCCAGCCAGCCATGCATGCAAACCGTAAACTCTTTACTTCCGATGGTTTCCTACCTAATGACCACAGAAAAACAATGACAAAGTTGCATGCTTTGTTATTCATCATCATCATTACTGCTTTTGATCAGTAGAAACAATCGTTGTATTTTTTACGGTGTGGTGTAGGAGTTCCAAAAATTCTATTTTTTTACAACAAATTTACGGATCGAATTTCATCATGCAATTTACACCCGTGATTGATGATGAATATTTACAGAGACTCGCCGGGTTGAGTCATGCTACCAATAATCTCACCTGTAAATACGGTACAGGTAAAAAAAAGTACACATTTTATGTAAGTGATGACTACTACTTATTTTACTACGCGAGTACATAAAAAACTTTCCTCTTCTGTGTGTCTGCATACAAAAATGTTAAGTTTTTTTTATAGAATGACGCGTTATGTCATTGTTGCGTTTATGGTATTTATGTGCACTGCAAAAAAATTAGACATCTTCTTGCATTTCAAAGTTGTAAGTTGCGTCGTAAAGTGTCTCAGAGGAGGAGGAGGAAAGGTGCATATCATTAATATGATGGTTATCATACATGTAAGCATCCGGTTACCGGTATTATCATCATTACCTCGTTGTAAACTGCAGTATATACATACATGTCGAAGAATATATCAATCGCAAGCACCAATTATGTGACGATTTTATAGCGAAATGCAAAATAACCTGTTAAATAATTTAATTTTTCTTTCAAATAGAAATTGCAAATTATGTATCAAATCAACGCCAATAATAAAAAATATTCCAGGTTCGGTATATATTAATACTGATAGATAGCAAAAAGATTTCACCGGTGTCATGTACATTGTACAATCTTAGAAAACTGGTTTTAAATCATTACTGATCGGAGTAAATATGTATATGACTCTACCGGCGCAGTAATAACGGGCATTACCGTTTAGTAATGTCGTGGTAATGAAAAATTTACTACTCAGAAACAAACTACTACCAATCCGGTATGAAGTCAGTACCAAATCAATACCAGTACGAGTATGACTACCAGATTTTTAACAGTGTGAAGAAATATTTCACCAGAAAAAAATGCATTTTCATTTCGCTCTTAATTATCCTTTTTCAATAAGTACCTGCACAAATCATCGTCGCACAAGTCGTAATTACGGGATGACTCAATCTTTAAGCAGGTGTAATAAGCAAATAAGTACATGCATGTATTTGTATTTTGTGTACCTAACTAAATACCTTTTAAGCGAACGTGTTTATAGACGTGGCATAATTTATGTTCATCTCTTTATTTACGCGATGATACACATGGCGTGACCGTGACGTTGACAAGATTCCAATAAAACTTGAAATTCTTCTCAAAAAACAATTTGTCTGCTGACTGACTGACAACTCTGACTAAAAAATAAATACGAACCAAACCACTTGGCAAATTCTTATAATGAGAATGACGTACGTACGAAATCTAATCGCAATTAACGAACACAAATCCTCCCGTAACATGAAATAAGAAATACGCAAAAATCTTTTTGGCTGAAATTCCTCACAAATTCTTTTTGTTCCAAAAGCAACACGGAACGTCATCACATTCCAAGTTTTGCGGATTGGAGATTGGATAAGAGCAATGTGCTTTCTTCAGTAAATATGTGCATGTATGTACATATGCATTTTTAGGATTTAAGGTGACCCCTCTTTTTTAAACATCACATTAAACCATCACACATTTCAGGCATGACATTAAACATTTATTTGCATTTGCTTCTTCTTCTTCTTGATTCATATGCATGCAAAATCTTTTTTACCACCACGACCAACCATCTTTTAAACTATTCATTAAGTTCATGTATACAAAATGATGAGATTTTTTGGCTTGGTCGCAACAACTACGGCACACACACACACAATACCTCGTTCATCTGTTATATCGAATTGATAAAAAGTTTTGTCGTATGTACGAATGGAATGGAATTCTGAGATTTGGGGACATCCATGATCAATCGGGAATGCGAAAAAGGCCAACATTTTGCACACTTGGATACGTTGAAAATCCGCCTTAATGCAATAAACTAAAAGCGATCACACAAAAAGGAATGTGATTGGATGATCCATTCATGCTTCGTTTTTGCAAATGTGCACTGCAGACCATATACACTTGCTAGTCAAGGATTGCTACAGGGAAATGTACACATTTTGTGACATTGTTAGTCCAAATCGGGGTTTCGAGATGTCTCGAAATATCGGGAAGATTGAAAATTTTGACCTTTTCATTTTTCAAATTCCTCAAAATACGCGACATTACGCGAGATATTTATGAATGTGCCATGTCTTTCCAATTGACATTTACCAAACTTGTAGCACGGTGTGAATAGTAAGTCGACTCTCTTCTGTGGTAGTGAATTCTTTAACAGAATTGGCTCTCGATCTTGTAAATAGGTGGAAGTATGCATGTGTTGTATGTACGTACGTAAATATCGTTGCCATCCTGCCCGTGTGTTTTTTAAGGAATTTCAGAATTCCTTCAAAGTTGAACTATCATAATGTGAATGCAATGGTGGAGGAGAGGAGAGCATCAATGGCAAACCAGACTTGTGGACGTAAAAGCAGTAGCAATAGCAATATGCATAATATAAATATATATACGTAAGTGTAAAGCGAGCTAAAAAAGCTGTACGATCAACATTGAGATTCGACTTTAAAAAAAGAGACAGAATTTCATGAGCGTAACCAATCATGGTTAAATTTTGATTATTTTGCATGATTTAACTTCAAAGAAGAAGATTTCAAATGCAATTTGTTTGATATCTGATTAAAATTAAAATTGTTAAACTTCAACGCCAAATAATTTTTTTTTTCAAAATTAATAATTAATTTAAAATATAAAATGTATATATAAATTACAAAAACACCACTTTCGACTTTCAAGTTTACCATAAAAAAATTAATCCACCTTTAACATACTAAAGGTGCACCCTTCATATTTAAACGATTTAAAAATTTTCCAAAATTTCACCCCTTCACTCCCCAATCCTCCAACTATTTCGAAATACTCCCCTGCCCTCTAAACATACACTTTCAGCATGATGCCATCCTTTTTAACAAAGTTGATTGCTTACTATTCCAATCCTACATACAACACTGTATAATGTGTAATGTTAAACTTTTATATATTTAAGGAATACGCATACCAATGAAACCACCACCACCGACAAGAACCCGTTCGTTCACAAGCTTTTATATTATATACAGCAAAATCTCTGCTGGCATCTTTCTCCCCGTATATTTTTCATCACATCCACCAATGCTAAAAACCAAACTGCACTTACAGAGTAATATGACGAGGATGGTTTAATAGCTTTTTGGTTGGTTGGTTGGTTGGTTAAACTTGCATGTGTCTCATAGGACCACTACTCGCACTCGTTAACATATCTCCTCTCTCATCCTCTCATAGTCTCTCCTCTTACTTACTTACTCTAATATATTCTAGAATTTAGTGCTTATCATTATCATTGGACATTGCGAATCACCTATTTTTTAAGTTTTTTATTGCACCCCGAACAGTCCGAATTACGACAAAGTGCGTCCCGACAAAGCTGGATTGTTGGAATGAAGGGAAAATTAGTGAAGAAATTGTGATACCTGTGTGCAAAATAAGTTGGTTTAAATCAAATATTTTATAAGACAAACCCAAAAAGAACGGGTTTGCTTAATGCAATCGAGATTGGAATGCGGACGGATTGTGTGTGTGTGTGTCTTCTTAACGCAGTAGCAGCAGCAATGTGAGAAATGAAACGGTACGTATGTACATAATTTTGTAAATTTTGATGCTACAATTTTGTTAAGGTTGTGACTAGTTGGGTAGAATTTAAAGGACTTAATTTATCGAAAAGAAATTGGCGTGAGATTTTCGTAAAGAAAGTGTTGCTTGTTTTTGATGTATGAGATTTTTAGTAAAAAAAACTCTCAACTTTCTCCGGGACATTTTGAGACAAATATTTTATTCCAAGTACACAATTTCATTTTACGACTTAAATATTTCAACAACTTTCTTTCCACGGATCGATACCGAATCGAACATAAGAATTTGACCCAGAACGAGTTAAAATTCCAATAAAATTCGTAATCGGTATAAATAACAAACAAATAAAAAGAATATTGTCATGAATGTTTCACGAGAAAGGAATGTGAACAAATGTACAATGCAAGAAAACAGCAGCAGAAGAGGCCCACCAATCAATAATAATAATGAAATGTAGCAGCAAGCAACACAATTAAAATAAACTAGTCTAATTTCTCAGAAGTACATACATTCATATTTGGCCATTTATTATAGTCGATGTATGTAGCACTGCATTCCATTGTTCATTATATTATTACACAGACATTTTTCCCTATGTACATGTGCTGTGCATATGCACATATCGTGCCTTGAGTGGGCAACAATGTTCTTGAAATACTTTTATTAGTAGATAATATGACACGCTATAATTATGTCTTACGTGAATTAAATATTTAATAATAATGCCTCTATTTCCACCCAATTAAGACATGAATACAGTAATAATTGGCATTTTATTAAGTGTTACAAAGTAGATAAGAGGAATTGCATCGTTGCTGGCATTGTTACCTGAATTGAAGTATTGTTGCCTGCCTGCCAATATTCTTGTCAATGACATTGTGACATGGCATCAATTGTGGGAGAATTGCTCTACATATAATTTTTTTAAACTTTTTTCCACCATTTGAATACATAGAAATCAATCACCAAATAGTTCTGGGCATTAATTTATTGCCGTGATGCTGTCACTAATACGTACGTATTTAACTTGCAAAAAAGACTCGCAGTCTGTAGTCTATGATAAATAAGTGCATATTTGCATTCTGTTAAAAGCAGCAGGAGCAGAATCATTATCATGATTTATTCCCAACTACCCCTCTCTTATGTCCTCACATTCCAATCAATTTGCTCATCCTTATTTGCATGCATCCGCACAAAAAAAACGAAGGCCGGAATAGTCTGGAAATGCAGTACCTGTTGTGATAATACTAATGGGTCTTGCTTGATTTCTAATGTTTGCGTTATGAACATTATTGATAAAATTTATTATTTGACTTTGCGTTAATCTTTCATACGCCGGACTTTTTCCTGGATTGGATGGATGACAAACGTCAATATGTCAATCAGTGTTGAGGTGTAAAGTGTATGTACATATAGTGCAATCGATGGAATTATGTGCTCAGCTCACCCAGTGCACATCATGAATAATAGTGTGGAATTTTAATTGCTTATTTATATATGTCGTTAATTAAAGTTAACCACAAACAAATAGGTACATATTTGCATTGTTTAGGCAGAAAAACATATTTATTTACCAAATTCATTACATTATTGACAACAATAGGGAGATTTATGGTGTAGGGAAAGTGTTCCAGGATATGCATTTCAGTAATTCGCAATACTTTTATAATGACCCAATTTTCCAGGCTTAATCATCAATTTATTTTATCATTTTCTCATTCGTTCGTTCATATTAACTTGATTAATTCTATAATTAAGTAATCCATCCACATGTGTGAAATAATTTTACCCTGGCTGAATGTCTGCCGTCGGTCCAAACTTCACCCTATGTCGTTTTTAGTTCGTATGTACATAGCAGATACGTAGATAAGCGCATTCACGTATGTATGTATGTACTTATCATCATCTTCTGTTACATACATACATGACGAGATAAAGGCACATTTTTGACTATACATCTGTTATATCATACTGGAATGGAATTTTGTTTATTTCATGCATCCATTATACGTATTTATCACGTAAGTTTTAGCAGAACGTCAAAGTTTTTAGCTAAAAAAATGTTGTGGTCTGATTCATTATGTTAAGTTCAATAAGTTATCGCCATATTAATGTATGTACCTTATCAATTGATCACTACTTGTTATTTGCCATAAATTTTCCACGGAAAAATGACCACTTGAGTCTATGGCCTGGCTGGATTTACTTTTTAATAGCTGGTCGCTCGCTCAGTGGCGGCGGAAGTTGGGGGACATTTGGGGACATTAGCATTGTGGGGATGGACATAAGATTGGCAATGATGTGCAATTTCTGAAGGGGGGCAATGTCCCCCTGCTTCCGCCGCCAATGTGCTCTCCCTCATATTATGCAGTCAATCATGATATATATTCTTGAATGAAGTGAAACTCAACATGTGCCTTGTGCGAATTCCGTTTAAAAAATACAGCCAAGTATTTCGCGAATTGAGTCGAATATGCAAATATGTAGTGAGCCGAACTGAACTCGACTGTGGAATCTTTGAACTCGTGTGATTAGAATTATATTACTCATTCACTTTTTGGCACGATGACTGATAACAAAGGAATTCACCACCACGAGCGATCCCACTTAAACGCAATCCATCCATGAGAGGCGACAACGGTTATCTCATCTCTCCCGTTAACGGGATTTTATCCAGTGTACAATAAAACCATGCAGCTTTATTTTATGGCGAGTTAGTTACTGCGATAAAGAATTGGATATAATAATTTGGATTTCGTCCATCCATCCCACATGGAAATATTTGAATCTTTTTTGGCAGTCTGCACCCAATTTTGAAAAAAAGTATTTAATTTACACACGCATTCCGCTTATATGAAAACAACATTTTTTAACGCTCCATTTTCACCATGTAACAACAAAACAAACCAACGAGCTAAAAATATTTTTACAAATTAGATCCAGTTTGGTTTGGATACTGCTTTGTTTGTCTTTTCTTGAGACTTTTGGTTATCATATCTTTTCCAAAACAATGTTATCACGAAAGGGTTCAAGTTACTCGCGATGAACTAAACAATTTTTATTATTAGTTCACTCACTCACTCACAGTCTGATCAGTCAATATGGATGAATTAGTTCCTGGAAATATTGTTTGCTTTATATGCCCACACCACGCTCCAATAAATTATCCAGCGTCAAGCATGGCTAAAGATGGTCGAATAGATGTACATACGCGTTGCATATGACGATAGACAAATGTGCGGATGAAACTTAACCAATGAAAAGTTGACACTTGATATTTTTGTTTGGTCCACAGATTTGCGTCACTCACTCTTGCACTAATTTAATTGAGCCCGTCCTTCATCTCAAGATAAGAGGAAGAAGCTAATAAAAAAACCACCTCAAACTTTATAGCACACGATAATAAATACGAAAGACGAAACAAGACGACAAACATTAAACAGAAATCGGCACCAGTAATAAACCTTATTTATTAGTCGATGCACATGCTACGAATCGAAATTGAGACAAGACTACTACGTAAAAAAATAAGTGAAGTTCAAAGTGTGTAGAAAATGGACCACATTCTCATCTCTTCTACGGAAGAACTCAGTGCGGAAGACCGATTACTGCTGGCTTCTTCGAAACGCCAAGAACCTCAGGGCGAGGAGCATGCCGGGTCTGGCGAGAAGGACGCGCACACCAATGGTGGCCAAGCCTTAACCAGAACGAAGAACATTAGCAGCAAACAGCAGCAGCAGTTGGCTTTGTCGTCGTCGTCGTCATCTTGTGAGGATGACTCCTCCGACGATGATGGGATCGTCTACCAGAATGTGGGGATGATGGTGGGGACGACGGCGTCCAACTCGAATTCACTCTCGTCGAATAGGTCCCACGGAGGGAGGAATGGTGGTGGTGGTGGGGGGTGCAACCTGAGCTTAGACTCCAATTCTCACTCTGCTTATAATACGGTAAGTATTACGTTTTGAAATACTTTTACTTATCCGGATAACCATTTGGCATAATAATGAATTGATAAGACCCCTGATTGAAATCACGTTGTTGAATTATGCAGTAATTATACAAAAACTCGATACATGTTGTGCTCTGCGAATTTTTTGCAAATAATCGTGCAGAAAAAAATTCTATGGGTTTTATTCTGCAGAACCGTACTATGTGCATAATTCTTTCTGCACAAATTGCATGCCGTAGTTCTGCAGAAAAATGAGCAAAATTTCTGCAGAAAATGATTCGAAATTTCAATCAGGGATATTAAATCAATCTTCCATTTTCAAAATCAGAAATTATTAACGCTACTTTTTTCAACAGCTCATCATTCACCATAATAATGGGAGTCTCCTAGCTGACACGTGGATGTAAGTGTTCTTATTGCAACACAAATTGCGAAAATTAAAATTATACACATTTTAACCCAAGTCTATCTATGCATACGTTACAGACCAGCCAGTCACGAATTCACCTCCCTCGCCACAGGAAGTAATCGAAATTCGACGTGTTCCTCCTCCACTCCAGCCAACAGTAGAAAGTCACAGTCCCCTTCGAGAGAGATGGGTCACAATGGTCACGGGGACGCCAGAACAACGACAGGTCAACATAACCCATCCAACTCTTTGGGCGTCTTTGACTACGAAGCCCTTCTGGGGGAGGCTGGTCTCAAGAGTAACGAATTATCAGATATTCCTCGCGACTATTTGAACCAATTGACTGTACTGAAGCACCTCGCGAAAGAAGTTCAAGTATGAATGCGATTTATTTTCGTGGGTTCGATTTTTGTGCGGGGAAAGCGGTGGGCGACCCGTTTTTAGTGTCGGGAATTTTCCGGGATTTTGTTCCCGTTTTCCGAAAAAACAACACAGAAATCGAACCCACGCTTATTTTTGTACATACGCTAATTTAATTTTTCTTAACCAACTTTCTCCATTTTCCCCCAACAGCAAGACCCGATTAGCGACCCACCCAACTCAAAACTCCTCCGATCTGCCAGTTTCTCCCGGTCGCAACCCGACCTGACGCAGTCCTTGACGAGTGGCGGTGGGGTTGTCGGCGTGGTTCCGGGGGCCAGTTCGAATCACAGCTATTACTACGCTCCTCCCCACCCGGTCGTCCAGTATCCTCATTATCCTGCCCAGCTACACCCACCCTCGCGAACAAAGCTGTCCAAACAACAGAGGGGAGAAACAAATTCGCCGCAGCGGAGTCAACAGGGTGACACCGACGAGGCCGGCGTGCCTTCAACTTCCGTCCAAATGTTGGAGATTCTCATGCGTGAAAACTCAAACCTCAGGGCCGAGTTGGCCAATGCTAGGGCTAGGATTCAGACTATCCATAAGGTAGATAAATAAGTTCAATAATAAAATTTGCATATTCACAGTGCTTCGTTTCTTGCGGGTTTGCAAAATTTCTGCAAAGCAAGAAACGCGGGAAATGCGGGGTGCAAGAAACTGGGAGAAAGTGCACGAAATATGCGCCATCCAGCCACCCGCCGTTTGAAGTATAGCGTTGGGGCGTAGTTTCTTGCCCCGTGCATTTCTCGCAGGTCAAAATATTCGCAAAAAACCACTTGCTCCCCGTTATTTGTTTTACTTGCATCCGAAACACTCCCACTCAATTTCATCATTATTTCTGATTCTGTGACCATAATATGAATATAATAATTTATAGTTGGAATCCGAACTAACTCGCCTCCAGAGGCAGCACGCGTCCCTGTTCGAATCCGCCGAGAGGAGAGAAAGTCTCGAACGGACGGCGAGGGTAAAACTGAGCACGGAAGTGAAGAGATTGACAGCTGTAAATCGGGAACTGCTCTCCTCCTCAAACTCTCTCCAGAACTTGTCGTCATACTCGCTCGGGTCAGATGTGGACATTTACAGGAAGGAATTGGCCAAAAAGGATGTCACCATTGCTCAACTCATTTCTCAAAGTGAGTTAACAAAATATATATGCGCTCACAGTTTTATTTATTATGTGCTTATCATCATTTTGCCACTTTAGACAAAGAAGTAGCGGCAACAAAGGATCGACAAGAGATTGAACTCGCGGCACAAAGAGCGACTCTGGAAGAACAGAGGACTCATATTGATATTCTCGACAGGTGAGAATTCCACGCTATTTTTTTTATTTGTATGAATTTGATTTTTATAAAAATGAGTATGATTTTAACGATTCCGTGTCTTTTCTCACAGTGCTTTAACGACAGCTCAAGGAAACGTTGTCCGATTGGAAGAAGAGGTATGCAAAATATTTTACTTTGCAACTTTCACCAGCTTTTTCCTGAAAAAAAATACCATGCTTATAACTGTTTTCACTAACTTCCAGTGCCGTCGAAACCAAGACTATGCCGAAAAAGTGTCTCAACTCCAAAGAGCATTATCCTCCCTGCAAGTTTACAACGAGAAACGTGAACAGTCCGAGAAGAAATTGAGATCACAACAAGAGTCTGAAATAACCGATTTAAAACTACAATTAGCATCCAAAAATGCCAAAAGTAATCTCAACAATACACGTGCCAATAATAACAATGCGTCCAACAATGCCAACACTAATACAAATAATAATGCACCATCACAAATAAACTCACGCACCGCTCCACCCCCGTATCCCGGACCTAGCAGTGGCAGCAATTCTACGTCAAATTCTAACCAAAATTTACACTTCTCAAACCAAGCCCTACACCAGACCGACATTGCGCCAGACTTGCAGTGTTTGCAGGAAAAGTTGCGCCTCTCGGAGGACAAGATTTCTTCGTTGACATCCGTCGTGCAACGCTGGGAGCATTTTTTCTCCTTGGAATCTCAACACCCCGAGAAAACGCCGACGCCCTCGGGAACGACGCCAAACACGCCGAACTCGTGGTCTTCTCGGGGAGGTACGCCACACTTCAATTTTGGTGGGGGAGGTGGAGGTGGGGGAAATTGTGGGACAAGTTCGGGTTGTTCGTCCAACGGAGCTTTGGACGATTTGCCATCCACGCAACATAGAGCGTGTGATTTGGAGTGGAAAATTAAGGATTTAGAATCTCGTCTTGTGGAAAAGGATAACATGTTGAGGGCATTGAATACGATGAATGTGCAACAAGGTCAACAGCAAGGTCAGGGGTATAATATCTACTCGACGCCGGCATACAGTCCATACGTTCCGACAGGTATTTATATATGAGTTTAGTGATATCTCTTTTAACGTAGGACTTGATAAGTCATCACCAAAATGGTCAAAATCAGCACATTTTTAGTAATTTCTTGGCTCTGTGAATTTATTTTAAAATTCTAGAGGTTTTTAAGTTAGCTTCGAAGAGTTTCAATTTTTCTGAAGGATTCTTAAACTTGAGATCTCCTCCTTAAAAAACTGCCAAAATCTGAGGTGTATATTGTAAGAAAAAATTTGCAATGACCTATTCTACCAATTTGTCGTTCAGAATTTTGTAATAAATTCCCAGAGCCTAAAAATGATTAAAAATGTGCTGATTTTGACAATTTTCGCGATGAGTCTTTGAGTCCTACGTGAATGGAAATTATAAAAATTCCCCTACTTAACCAATTTGAATTATCAGGTTTCCGAGAGTCACCCTCCTACACGGCCGCATCAATGATGCACCAACACCAAAAATCGCAACAGCAACAACAGCAAGTCAACCACCAAGTTTCCGTCAGCCTGGCCTCCATGATGGATCGTTCCCGATCTTACGGCGTGGGCGTGGACCCGCTCCTTTTTTACGAGAAGGTCGGAAAGTGCGACAGTGAGCCACCTTCGTATGCAAACCTCCCACCCAAACTCCGACTCGGTGGGAGTGGTTCCAGTCTCGCCAAAAATTCGAACGAGTCCTTAGGATCTGCGGGGCATGGGATGTCCAACAACGCGTCCGAACCAGAGTCAGTCTCCTCATCGGATGGCGGTGGGGGCGGAAGTAATCCGAAAAGTATTGATGAGCAATTGAAGGAACTGAATACCCAGCTGCTATCCAAGGTGAGAAACAATTTGGTGTGTTAATTTGTGTTAATTTGATTGAAATTACATTACTAAAACCAGCATCAGATCATTAGTTTAGTTTGCATGAATGATTTTTTTCTTTAACAAAACAAATTTTATTCCCGTGTGCAATATTTTTTTTACCTACATAAATACGATACCCGAAACCTGAGAGTGGATTGAACTAAAAAGAAACTAACGTTTGTTAGAAATTTTAATTTTCAAAGTTGATTTTTTTGTCGTTTACTAAAAAAACATCCATTTAGCCTTGTTCAAATTTAAATTTGTTCCACGTACACGTTTCTTTTTGGTTCAATTATGTCCAGGGAGCGGTTTCGTCCGGGTTAAAAATGCAATCTTCAGGCCTCTGCTGTATTCCAGGTTATTATTACTTCACGCCAATAATAACTAGACTGATAAGCAGGCTAATTGACAATTATTTATTTAACTACAGCAATTAACACGTCTCTCTTAAATTTCAGGATTCGCTAATCCAAGCTTTGCAACGAGAAAAGGAAAAGTACCCCAATCACTATTGGAAGGTGTGATGTCCACCAATCCCGTAACCACCGACGCCAACGGCAACAACTTATCCACCCTGCCAACGAATAACCAACCACCGAACTCTTCTTCAATGTTGTCCTCTCCAACGAAAAAGTCTGTCCTGCTACCCCCACTGCCACGACCGCCACTCCTCCAGTCTACGCCTCACCAGCTAAAATCCTCCGGAACCAGTAGGACCAGTTCGGGTCCGCCCTTCCTTTGCGACGACCAAGATGCGAGTGACGTTTCTGGAAACGTGCTCCATTCAAACTTGTTATCAAATTCGGTCGACTCCGTCCTCGCCGAGTCGCCAGGATCTTTCCGAGCCTCCAAATTGGGCGGCGGTGGTCCCAACATCTTCACCCCCGTCGCGGTCAAAGGTCTCCCGCCGAAAAGTCCCTGTATCTCCATCCCACTCGCGACCGGTACCAGTATGATCATCGACTCGAAGTGCCGCTCACTCGAACGCGACCAGAAGTCAAAGTTTTCTTCCTCCTCCTCCAATAATGATCCCGGTTCTTCATCTTCGTCCAAATTCACGTCATCCTACGATCCCGCCTCCCGGTGTAAAAGTTTGGATCGACGAGAGCTTAAAGCCGCCGCGAAGGAGGAGAAGAAACAGCAACAGCAACAACAAAAATCTGCGATTGGGTCAAAAGCCGCATTTTTTGGGGGGTTGCTGCGACGATCGCCAAGTCCCAGTAGGAAGAATAAAGATAAGGATACCGACAAGGACAATAACAGCCGCGCTTCACCCGCACCCTCGAAAGGAGGTCGCTTCACGTTCGGCCGAACCACCAACGCCAGTCATAACATTACCACGAGTCGCGCCAGTCCAAGTCCTGTCGTCCTTGTGCCGGATAACACTTCCGATGCTGAAATCGACGCCGAGTTTCTGACTCATCAGGGACGCTCTAGCCAGTCTCAGAGGGCTAGTCGGGTCACGAAATGGAGTCCGGGGTCGTCCACTTCGGGCGGAGGAAATTTGCCATCCCTCCAAGAACATGGGTCCCCCTGGGTGCAGAGACGCAGTGGGGGCGATATTTCGGCGGGGTCTTCTCGAAAGATGAGTGTAGAATCCATCGAGAGTAATAATAGTCGACGCGGTGGGAGTAATAGTGGCGATGCGAATGATCCTACGAAAAAATGGGGAAAAATTGTCAAGTCCCCGTTTGGACTGAGGTACACTTTTGGGGCGCCGAGATCATAAGTCAAAGATAAAATGATTATGCAAATGAGCAAGTAATTTACAAATCCTATATTTTCTTCAACCCAGATGTGAAGAATTTTTGTTAGGATTTTAAAAAAAATATGAGATCCTAGTCTTTGTCATCCACCAAACCAACCTACAAAAACCTCTCCTTTTTTATCACCCTCTTCACCTTGAGGATGAATATGAAACGCATTTTGAGAAACTTATTCTTTTTTTTATTAATTACTACCCAGAGAACTACGATTTAAATATGACCACCACCGAATTTTTTATCGACTGATATCCTCATTTTTTTCTCTAAGGATGGAACTGTATTATTTTTCGGAAAAAAAGATTTCTAAACAGTCCTGATTTTATTATGGGTGGGGAAGAATTTTAAAGAATTATGCTGCTGCTTGAGTTTAGTGGCAACTTTTATTTATTTTATACGTAGTAGAAGTACAGTAGAAGAGATGGAAGGAACAGGAATTTTACGAGGGAGGAAACAGAAAATATTAACTTTTGCTTTAAACAAACAAATAAACAAACACAAATATAGATTTTATATAAATAATCTCATAAAAATCGTAGATAATTAGGTAGATTTACATAAATAGCTTTGATATTCGACAGGTTATCATAAAGAACGACTTACTCATGTTGTAAAAAACATTAACAAATTAATTAATTGTCATATATATATTTGTGTAAAAACATTTACACTTATTAATTAATCCAGTAATTAATTAAACTACATACACCCAGAACTGTTCACTTATTAATATTTCAGGAAGGGGATTGTAAATATATTAAAATATGTGTAAAAATGATAATTTAGATAACCCTAAACAGACTCAGAGATGAGATCCCGATGATAATGGTGAGATGAGATTTGGGATGATAAATATTTAACCAGCCAGAGTTTATTATTAGTTTACGAATTTAATTACTTATTATTATGCAGCCAGAAAAAATGTAAGTTTTTAGCCAAGAAATTTAATACTGTGCCGTACTAGTGATTACATATTTATGTAGAAGAAAAAGAGAAATTGAGATTTTAAAATACTTCTTAATGAACGAAAATTTTTAAAGATAGACAAACTATTGTTATTTTAATTTTAATTAAGTACATACACTACGTCATTTTAATGTTGACAACTTTACTGTTATATGATTTACGAGGATATATTTACAGAGATAAAAATAAAAACATTCGTAAAAGAAAGTGATGGTTTATGTGATGTATTTATTTCAAAAATGTAAAATGCATAATGCAAACCGCTGTGCAATTTTGGGAGGTATGCACTTCACACGGAATTTCATACCGAATCATTCATCAGAGGGCGGATATGAATTTATGTGCAACTTTTTCATTTTATGACCGACGTCAACCTTTGTGGACGTGTTTCCTAACTCGCATATCGGATAAAAATTTCGAAATATCTCCACATATTGTTACAAGTTTCTTGGTTTTTAGATATGTAAATATGCTTATAAATATTTCCGCTGTTATTTGAAACATGCGTATATATTTTAGATATTTTTGTCAAAAATATGTACATTTTTAAATATTTCAACAATATGAGACAAAAATTTTTTTCCCAAAAGAAATTTGACTGCAAAAATATAGAGAATTATATGCAGAAATAAAATTTTTGCGAAAATTCTTATTTTTATGGCTTTTTGGTACATATTTCGTAATTTTTTTGGTATTTTTAAACCGCTAAATACATACATATTTCAGCGATTTTTCATACATACATATCCACCCTCTACTCATCATTCTCAACTCTCACACTCCTCTGGTCACCACACACTTACACAAATCATGATGTGTCTTTATGACAAGTCTTGCGTAATAAAATAATAACGCTGCTTTTTATCCACCACACCATTTTATTATCATTGTCTGTTGATTGTGCTGCACAGCTGGTTATTTCGTTTGGTAACTCTCTCTCTCTCATCCTCAGTAAGTATTAATATAAATAATTTCAAAAATCTCATCTCATTTTGTCAGCAGAGTTGAGAATTAAAAGTGTGTTGCAACAGTGTGTTTCATGAGGTTGGTTGGTATTTTTGGGGAAACGTCTCAATTTTCTACCATGTCATTCTCTCTGGCCAAATGCCAACTTTTGTCTCATCCTTTTTCCTGACCCGGACACAATTTCGTAAACAAAATCATCACGGAATGGGTCACATTGCAGTTTTGGCACATTTTGTAAACTGTAAAATCTAATCAAAACTTGACTTGATTTCCTGTTACGTATTTGCATATTTGCGTTTGAGACCATTTCTCTCATATTAACAAAGTGTTACTTACAAAGAATGGCAGACGGTTCCAAACAACCGATACACATTCACGGAAATGACCGTCTTTCAGATCGAGTAAACTTATTTCAACAGCAAGCTGCTAAACATGAAAAGGCTCAAAAATCAAACCCTTTCTCGAGCAAGTTTGATCCTAAAGGAGGTGATAGCAATACAAGTATCGGATTAAGTAAGGATGATCCCAGGTGAGAAAACTTGTCAAGTCCTATTTAACTGATCATAATTTAATACTTTTTGCGACCATAATTAATATTACTTTTTTCCCGAATACTCCTCTCGTCATGATGAAATCCTAGTTGACGATATGTATATGTATAACCAATCAATGTACAAATTCTAAATCGTAAGACTACATTTGCAATCCTATATTGGTGATTGCAATAAATTTTGCAAATAAACCTTTTTAACCTCCACCACAGGATAAGTGCGTATACTGTTAAAAATCTGGAGATTCACATGTATAATCCTTACTGGTATTAACTTTCTACAGAATTGGAAGTACTTTGTTTCTGAGTGGTAAATTTTTCAGTACCACAACATTATTCAAGGGTAATGCCGTGGGTTATTACCGTGCTGGGAGAGTTTCTAGGAGTGTACGTATCGCATAGAAAAGCAAGCGTGTGCGTGATGGACCAGTAAAAACTTCCAATGCATTTGTCGTTTTAAATTTGTTTTAAAATTTAGCTTTAAATTTGTAATGCTTTAAAAAATACCAGTAGTTTAAAGCGATCTTAACGTGTATTTGGGAAATTGAATGATTTTCACGCCCAAATAAAATAAACTGGTATTAAATAATAAATTTAAATAATTTAGCACACCTCAATTTGTTGGTTGGTCAGCTAATGTAATGTAATCGTGGATCACTTGAAACTTTTAAGTATAACAAATGAATCAGTATCATCACTCTCAAAATCGAGTTCTTATGAACACGCACATCTGCAAATTATGGTCGGAAGTAGTATTAAATTATGATCAGTTAAACACATTTTTGTGTACAGTGTCGGACAGATGTCTACGTCCACATAGTCGCGTCAATTTCATTTTCAAATTGTCACTGAACTACTGAACCAATTTTCATCATTGATATATCTAATTCTCACAAATTTAACGTAATTTCATAAAACATATGAGTTATTTCTGAAAATTCTGGGAAAACTGAATCATAGTGCAGAGCGAGAGAGGATGAAATTTGAGCGGACAAAAGTCTACGTCCACTTCACTTTAATTGTCAACAACAAAAATCTCTCCAATTTATAAAATCAGGTAACTTAATAAATCTATCAATAACATATGCCGCATTAATTTTTAAATAATTTTCTTCCAGAAAAATATGATGGCGTCGACACGCAAGGAAATTCCTATCGCTATTCGAGATCTTGTCATTCAGGACTGGAAGGGTGGACAAAAAGGGGGGCTGTCGCAGAGACAAATAGGGACCAAGTATAAATTAGCAAGGACAACCATCCAGACAATCATTAAGAACTTTAGAGCTAATGGTTCAGTCCAAAACAAGGTCAGAAGTGGTCGAAAACCGATTTTGGCTCACCGAGAAGTACGCCACGTGCTCAACAAAGTTAACGTTACACCCTCACTTAGTGCTCCAAAGCTATCTACCGAGATCAAGGAGATGTTCGACAAACAAGTTAGTCCTAGGACCATCCAAAGAACACTGAACAAGGGAAATTTGAAATCCCACAGAGCAGTCCGGAAGCCTCTTATTGTACCGAGGAATGCAACCAAACGAGTGAAGTTTGCCAGAGACCACATTTCCAAGCCACAAACATTCTGGGACAGTATTTTATGGACTGACGAGTCAAAGTTCAATGTCTTTGGGTCAGATGGGCGTCGTAGAGTGTGGAGATATCCAAAAGAAGCATTGAATCCAAAAAATCTCAACCCCACAGTTAAGCACGGCGGCGGGTCGGTAATGGTGTGGGGATGCATGGCTTCAAGTGGGGCAGGAAAAATGGAATTTATTGACGGAATTATGGACCAATACAAGTACCAGGGAATACTTGACCGTAATATCCAGGAATCTGTTCGAAAACTTGGACTTGGACGACGATTTGTCTTCCAACAAGACAACGATCCGAAACACTCTGCCAAGTCCACCATGGAATACTTCAAGAAAAAAAAATTTCGAAGCTAGAATGGCCTCCCCAATCTCCAGACTTGAATCCCATTGAGCATCTGTGGGACCACATTGAAAGAGAAATAAGAAAACAATCTTTTTCAGGAATTCCGGGCCTAAAATCCAGAATTCTTGAAGTTTGGGAAACCATTTCTGAAGATGTGACCAAGAATTTGGTAAACTCTATGACTCGACGCCTTGAATCCGTCCTTAAAGCGAACGGAGGCCCAACCAAATATTAAAAATTAATTGTTATAACATTCCTTATAAATTACAGTTTTTTTTGTATGTTTTCTCTGACTGGACGTTGACTTTTGTCCATCCAATTGTTTTCATTTTGAATTAAAATACATCTCTGGCCTAAAATAAATTTTTTAGCGGAAAACTAATAATGTGCTATGAAATTACGTTAAATTTGTGAGAATTAGATATATCAATGATGAAAATTGGTTCAGTAGTTCAGTGACAATTTGAAAATGAAATTGACGCGACTATGTGGACGTAGACATCTGTCCGACACTGTATATCTATTTACATGCAAATACCCGACTGTTGTTCAAAATTAAAACTGTAAGCATAAAATCTTAATAACAACGCAGATATGGGAGACCTCCCGAAGGTTCCAAAACGGAAATGCGAGGACTCAAGGCAAATTCTCACATCAGCAAAGAAGTCCTCGAACTCTGCACCTTGATTCGAACTTACGGCGAATCTCGTCCCGACGGTCGGACCCTGATCAGTTTCGGCGAACTTTTCCAAATGTATACCGTAATTTCCAACAAAGTTGTCGGTATTCTGCTTCGAGCTCGGAAACACGGCCTGCTCACCTTCGACGGAGAAATGCTCTACCAACGCCGCGACGAAGGGAAAGTTATCACATTGTTTCCCAAAAAAGAAGAGGACGAAGAGGAAGAGGAGGACCTATAATTTTAAATAAACAACAATTAAAAGTGTTTCAGGTGCAAGAAATAACTGCAAAAAAGTGGTTTCTTGCAGGTATTTTGACCTGCAAGAAATGCAAGGCGCAAGAAACTACGCCCCGCCGAGAATATTTCATACGGCGCGTGGCTACATAGCGCATATTTCGTGTACTTTCTCCCAGTTTCTTGCACCTCGCATTTCTTCCGTTTCTTGCTTTCTAATGTAAGAAATGTCCCGCAAAACAAGGAAACACTGACAATAATATCATTTCATAAAGAAATACAATACTCAACAATAAAGTTTATTGATGACATTGCGTCCATCACTTTATGACACGCCACCCAATCGTAAATAATTTTCATTCTGCCTCATTTCTCATTCCGCCTCCGCCTTCTTCTCTTCTCTTGGAAACATGCATCCGCCTAAAATGGGAGAGAAAGATTTTGTGACATTGCTTCCGGATGAATGAGAGTAATTTGCAGGGATTTGCGTCCTGGAAGTGGTTCGTCTTCGTGGTGGTGGTGGTACTTTCTCTGAAAAATGAGGTGACATTACCCCACCCAACCCAAACTCTCAGATTTGGATTATTCCCATACATACAGCACGATGCACGATTGACTATTCTACGCCAAAAAGAAGGAGAGGAAACAATGGCCGCGGAAGGTTTGGGGACATTAACATTGTAGGACGGGGGAGGAAGGGATTTGCATAAGATGGGGAGATGATGGGGACATCGAACAACCGTGGGGACATTGTCCCTCTGTCCACACGCTACCGCGGCCAATGTGTCTTTATTGTAAATATACTTACGCTACCAGTGGCCGCGAAAACCGTGGGGGCATCTGGGGATATTTATCTACATTTTAGGAGAGAGGAGGGCGGGCGGGGTTTATATAACATGGGCAGAAGATGCGGACACCGAACAACCGTGGGGACATTGCCCCTCTGTCCCTACACCACTTCCGCGGTCACTGCCTCGACGTAAAGACAATGACGACCCAAGTCCCAACCAACCAACAAGACCATGCGACGACGACGACGACGACTCTCTAATCTAAACGGGGAGGATGACTGTGAAGAGAGAAACGAAATGACGGGGAAATGTGGGGTCGTTAAAAGGATTGTTTTCGGTGCGTGAGATGCCTGCAAAACGTACACTTTTCCTAAATTTCTTTTACTTCCGCGTTCCCTTTTTCTAAACCAGGAAATACTATTCACTCGGAAAAAGCGGGGCCTTTTGCTTGGCAAAATATTTAATACTAATAAATTATTATAATTTAACCATTCTCATTCATTTATATGCTCAGATTTATGGTTATTTTGCTTTATAAGGAAATGCATGAGTTTACACAAACCAAGTTTTCACCAGAAGCAAATAATTGACACCATTTGCATTTAAAGTATCTTTAGTTTTGTATATTTCTTACAAAAGTTAATTACTACTTTATAAATTTTATGACTTTTTTAAATCCATAATTATTTCCCAGTGTATAATATAGATGTATAATATTTGGAAATATTTAGACTTACAATAAGATTTCAGTAAATTTTTCTCTAGGAAATAAGTTTTTTGATGTATTTATTTAAAAAAAATGAATTAATCCATCCATTACACATATTATCACACTTTAATTTTGTAACACTAAAACCTAGTATATTGTATTAATACTATACTTACAATTACAAATAACATTGGCCACGCTGATCCTCCTGAGCAAATCTGAACTTTCATATCGCCACACGTCAAACAAGAACTGTCAAATGAGAATTTGTTATCAAACTCTGTGAATAAGAATCCTGACAAACTTGTCACGCAAAAATTATAGTAAAATTGAACTTTTGTAAATATATTATAAACTCTTGTACATAATATGAAACATTAAAATTGATCCCAAATGCAGACATTGCGAGGGCACCCAATTAAATCATTCACATATCATGCTGAAGCACCACTTAATTATCTACATGTGTATGTCCAACTCTATGACCACTTCGTTCGATAAGCCCTAGGGGATTGACCGGATTGTGGAAAAATAGCAATCAATTCACCAATCTACCGAACTCAATTATAGATAAAGGTTTCAACCTTCTATTAATTATTCATCATATCAGTGTTTTCATTTCCTCAAGAAATTCCCATCGACATCAGTAGCCGCGGAAGCTGTGGGGATATCTGGGGACATTAGAATTGTGGGATAGGGGGAGGGAGGGAGGGATTGATAACATGATCGGATAATGGGGACATTGTCCCTCTGTCGCGCCACTGATTCGACATAATTGACATAATTGACATAATTGTTTTAAGTCCAGAGGACGTGATGAGGAAAACTGTATCAAAATTAAATGATAACGAATCTCAATTTGATTTAAAATGCGCAGAAGTTTAATCATGATAAGCAATAAATAGCCACCAAATCTTTGCATAAATCTGATTTTTGACCCGATTCAAAGGCAAAATGTTTGAAAAGCTTGTATTTATTGCTGCAATTTGCGTCCATCCGCTTGCTGCCTCTCTTGCGGTCGACACAACAACAAGTAAGTCGCCATTGATTTGTTGATGAAGTAAAGTCTAAAAAAAATTGCATCTTTAGCGGAAAATGCTTACGCCGAGGAAGTCGAAAACTTTCGCCAATTCATTCATGGATCTCTTGGCGAATTGCGCGATGTTCTACGTGACCCATTCGAATACCCGAACCCTTTTAGTATAGATTCGACTAATCCCGACTTGGCACAAATCAATGGAAGCATTTCGTACGTATAATTTAATATGATTAAGTTTTCAGATAATAAGAATTTGCAATTTTTAACTCGAATAACCTTTAAACAGGAATGTGACATATCACGGGATGAACAATTTAAGCGTGTGCAAATTTAATAGCATGTATCCCACTACATTTTTCTCGTTGGGTTTTCGAAAGCGATACCAGTCATTTACAGGTGTGACTTAATTGTTCTTTTGTATAATGGCGATATCAAATGTTTGATATTTACTTGAAGGAACATATTCTTTGGACGGCAAATTCTATAATAACGGACAGCCGCTCCCATTCGGTGGAGAGGGGAGGTTTACCATGGATCTGTTGGGCATAGGAGAATTTGGACCAATGTATGACTATAAAGTAGATGAGGTCACGGGACATGTCACGCTTGGTCCCTCAGCCACGTGGGGCGGCCACCTTAGTATCCCTGCCAATTATACGTTCGAATTTGAAGGATTGTTTTCAAATTCCGAAATACCAGCCGAGTTTTACTATCCGATTCATCATCACATTTTTAGTGCGGTAAAGGATAGGTTGTGGGAGAGACTGGTCGTTTATTATATCGTTCCAGAGTTGAGACCGCTTTTCGACAAAAATTTTGAGGTATGCGCGAACTATTATTTTATGTTGAACATGAAGATTTCTCAAGAACTTTGGGCAGCACATGTATTTAAATATGACTAGTTTTAAAGTAATTGTTCAAATTACAGAAGTGGAGTTATGCAGACATACTGGAAGGTAATTTCACCCCCTTCAACTGAGTTCAACTCTTCCATAACTTGGGATTGTTATGGGTTATGGCCTTAATGTAGGTAAATATTGTTGGATTCACTGTCATCAGAAAAAATGCACTTATTAATCCATATTTGTACTTGCATAGTAAAGGTACTCGAGATAAAACGATATGCAAATCTATTTGGTCCATTACTGAATTTTGGAAACATCAGATACATATATGTAACAGTTTAATTATTTTAAAAAATTTTCATGCATACCTTACGAACATCGACAATATACATCGTATAAGCGTCAATACTAAAAAACTCATAGGAGTGTGGATGAGGCTTTAAAAAATCTTTGACCAGGAATGCCCACAGATTTATTGCGTGCTTCAATCTAGGTCGCGTCTTCAGCCATATTGAGGAAATTTCAAGGACTTAAAAAAATTGTCTACCCAGAAATTAACTGGCTGTCGGCTAAAATTGACTAAAAATTTGTAACACAAAAACCATTGATGCTATGTTACAGGATTTCATTTCACTTTAAGTTATCTTTGGGCATACGATATATAGAATTTGGAACTATGTATATAGAATTACAATAACGTTATAGCCATGCTTCCTCTAGGATATATTTGTTTTTATGTATCTTTCCAAAAAATAAATTAATCGATCCAGTTATTGCACAGTTTAATGATCAATTTTGTAATACCAAAACTTAATATGGGTATAATTCCAACACTTATAAATAAAATTCTTCACTTTGCCTCGACAAATGAATGGGTCAAAGTTTGCATATCATACAACGACGCGTCAAAAAAGGAACTTAACAAAATTGTCGTGTAAAATTCATAATAAAATTCCTCTTCTGTAAATTGATTATAAACTCGCGTATGTACGAAACAAATATTAGGATTGATCCATAATGTAGACATTTCGAGGGGAATACAGCTGTAAGCCCTTTTCCCCCGACCAATTACATACTGCGACAGCACTTAATTATGTACATTTGTCCAATTCTATGAATACACCTGATAAACCCAAGCGGAATTGTGAAAAAATAACAATCAATTCACCACAATCTTTTTAACTCAATTATAGATAAACTTTTCGAATTCCGATATAGCATCATTGCTTATCAGCCACCTTTTTCACTTATTCATCATAATTTTATCAGTGTTTTCATTTCCTCAAGAAATCCCCATCGGCATCAGTGGGCGCGGAAAGTGTGGGGACATCTTGGGATATATTTTCATTGGAGAGGGAGGGGTTATAACATGGGCAGGTGAAGGTGACATCGAATACCGGTGAGGACATTGTCCCCACACTTCCGCTACCATTGATCGACACAGTTGACATTTATTTTGCACGATGTCGAGAGGACGTGATGAGGAAAATTGTATCAAAATTAAGCGATAACGAATCTCAATTTGAGTTGAACCTGCGCAGAAGTTTTAATAATGATAGGCAGTAAATAGCCACCAAATCTCTACTATCTTCCTAAATCTGAGGAAGAAATGCATGTACATTTCGACCTGATCTAGGTATAGAAAAAATGCAGGTGAAACTTGTGTTAATTGCTGCCCTTTGGGTCCTTCCACTTGTTGCCTCTCTTGCGGTCGAGACAACAACAAGTAAGTCGTCGCCATTGATTTGTTGATGAAGTAAATTCTAAAATAATTTACTCTTTAGCCGAAAATCCTTACGCTGAGGAAATCGAAAATTTTCGTCAATTCGTAATAGGATCCCTTGGCGAATTGCGCGATGTTCTACGTGACCCATTCGAATACCCGGACCCTTTTAGTGTAGATACCACGAATCCTGACTTGGCGCAAATCAGGGGAAGCATCTCGTAAGCGTATAATTAAAATATGGGCCATCCAAAAATTATGTCACGCAAAACTCGTGATTTTCTAAACCCCCCTTTAACACGTGTCACATAAGCACGACATTGTTGGACCCCCCGCCTTCCCCTTCTCGCGTGACATAATTTATGGACCTTCCCTAATTTGATATGATTCAGATAATAAGAATTTGCAATTTGCAACTCGAATAACCTTTAAACAGGAATGTGACGTATTACGGACTAAACCATTTAAGTATGTGCAAATTTACTAGCGCGTATCCCACTAAGTTCTTCATATTGAGTTTCCGAGAGCGATACCAGTCATTTACAGGTGTGCTTTAATTTTTGTCTTTTATAAATATAACGGAGATGTCAAATTTTTGATGTTTACATGAAGGAACATATTCTTTGGACGGCATATTTTACAATAACGGACTGCCACTCCCATTCGGTGGAGAGGGGAAGTTTACCATGGATCTGTTGGGCATAGCGTCATTTGGGCCGATGTATGACTAAAGTAGATGAGGTCACGGGACATGTCAGGCTTGGTCCGTCAGCCTTTTGGGGCGGCTACCTTAGTATTCCCAACAATTACACATTCGATTTTGAAGGACTGTTTACAAATTCCGACATACCAGCCGAGTTTCATGACCCGATTCATCATCAGATTTATAGTGCAGTCGAGGGCAGAATGTTGCGGAGACTGGTGGAAAATTATATCGTTCCAGAGTTAAGACCGATTTTCAACAAAAATTTTGAGGTATGCCTGAATTAGTATGTGAAATTGTGCATGAAGATTTCTCATGAACTTTGTGCAGCACAGGTATTTCAATACGAATAGCTTAAGTAATTGTTCAAATTTCAGAAGTGGAGTTATGCAGACATACTGGGAGGTCATTTTACCCCCTTCAACTCCACCATGACCTGGGATTGTTATGGGTTATGGCCTTAATATACTATAGGAAAATGTTGTATGTAGTGTCATCAGAATAAATACCACGGTTATTCTTGATTATTGTTATGATGATTGATTTTTAAAAAATGATGTGGAAATTGATCGGATTCATAAAATTTTGCAAACTTCGGATAAGTATGTACACAAATTTGGGTACCTGTTAGTTTTGCGAATTTGCAAGCATCCATACAAACATGGTATCGACCATACAGATAATTTATGGGATGCACCTTATAAGAGTCCTCATATGACACATTAACTCAAGCCATGCCAAGTTTATTTGAATAAATAAGTATGTATATATTTACATACTACCCACTTACTTGAACACGTACGAAAACACGTTATACTTTAACTAATATTATTTATGCATTTATATGCTCGTATTTATAATTATGTGGCTTTACAAGGAAATGCATGCGTTTTCACAAGCCAACTTTTCATCAAGAAACTGCCACGTAAAATTTACGAATGAAAATGCATACTACGTAAATATAATTCTCACTGAAATCAATTAATCAAATTCGCCAAAATCTCCCAAAATCCTCACATATTCATTCATTTAGTTTAGTAATACTCTAATAACGGACCAGATGTTAGGATTAAGGTCGGTCAGTCGAGGTGACTTATTTACAACTAACGTGATTTATTACGCAATGTGTATGTATGTACCTCCAAGTATGGTTACATACTTTCGAAATAAAACAATTTATTATTTTGTTGTTCTTTTAAATAAATGATTGGAATCCATAACTGAACTGAAATAAATTATTATTTGGTCTGAACTACATAAACTCGAATGACAGTTTTATTAGGGTTTGCCTGTCATTTCTGAATTTATCGTGCAATTCGTACCATTCATCTTCTCATCCATCCATTATTGCGGCCTTATTGTAACACATTATCAGACCATTACGCTAGTCCAGGTTTTTGGTCCAGTCCAGTAGTTTCTCCGTCGATTTGTTGGCCGCGGAAGCTGTGGGGTCATCTGGGGACGTTAACATTGGCAGGTTAGGAGATCGAGTGGTTTATATAACATGGGGAGATGTTGGGGACATCGAATAACCGTGGGGACATTGTCCCTCTGTCCGCGGCCACTGGTTGTCGCTACTAATAAAGTTGTGATATAAGCTAATCCTTGTTTTTGGATGGGATTATCAAGTCGTGAACATGGAGCTTATTTCCAGACATGAGCTTTAGCTAATGGGAATCAGTTTATTTGCAATGTTTGTTTAGTTGTAATATTATTTATGATTGCGTGATCAACTGAAAGCTAGTCTGGTGATGGTCTCAGGAGGGGAGCTTGCGAGGTTGATAATAACAGATATTGGTGCCCTTTGGATATGTGGTAGGGTCCCATGAGTGAACTAAAACCCTGAAGTGGTTTGACTCCATGGCCCCATTTGCGCCCGCCACACCCACTCAAAAATGTCCAAAAAACGCTTTCACTCCAGTTTTCACTCACTCAAATCCACGCCAAAAATCCAATTTTACTCGGATTTTGAAATTTCTTTCACCATTACACTCCCAGATAGTTGCTTTCTTCAATCCAATATCAAACTCAATTTTGCTGATGACTATTTCGCAGGCATAATTTGCGTTGTTGATTACTACAACAATCCTCATTCCGAATTGCAATTTTTAAAAATACTAAAAATTTCGAAAAAATTGAGTTTGATATTGGATTGCAGAAAGCAACTATCTGGGAGTGTAATGGTGAAAGAAATTTCAAAATCCGAGTAAAATTGGATTTTTGGCGTGGATTTGAATGAGTGAAAACTGGAGTGAAAGCGTTTTTTGGACATTTTTGAGTGGGTGTGGCGGGCGCAAATGGGGCCATGGAGTCAAACCACTTCAGGGTTTTAGTTCACTCATGGGACCCTACCACATATCCAAAGGGCATCAAGATCTGTTATTATCAACCTCGCAAGCTCCCCTCCTCAGTCATAATGCTTAATCCGAGTTAATCCTCGTGGTTGGAACAACTAATCAAATAAATCGTGTGGTCTGTGTTTTTCTTTAATACCAATTAGCGTGGAGAGAGTAATGTTACCAGGATTAGTGATACTTTAGCTGTCAATCAAGGCATATCATATCATACATCCGCAAATAAACTTATTTCCAGATCTACTTACAACGGAGGTGTCCCAGCGTATGCTTTCCGATTTTGGCCAAACTTGTGTCAACCGGTCACAAATTTAGGATGAAATTTACAAAAGATAGGACCTCCCAATGCGCAGATTTGGCGGATATATTTGCATTCGGAGGGGAGAAAACGCGCAGTATTCTCTCTCTAAACTCACAAAATAGTAAAATTTGTGGACTTTGGGTCCCGTTTTCTCCTCTTCGGGTGCTAGTCTCTCCGTTAAACCTGAGCATTGTGAGATCATGCCTTTTGCAAATTTCATACTCATTAACTTTGTGAATTTGAGCTTTATTTGGTTAAAATCGGAGAGCATACGCTGGGAGACCTCCATTGTTAGTTCTTTATTCATAGGATCAATTCACATTATCAATATTATCATTACAATCAGAATAAAATTACATACACAGCATTCACGCTGATACATAAAACTGACCACAAAAGAGTTGAACATTAAAATATTGTTAATTAAATAGTTCTGTGCCTACATATTTATGTATATTTCGCATAACGTTTACATAAATTTGAATTTATTCACGTTGTCTCCAAAACTCCTTTAAATTTCTCCAAAAATTTACCCAAGTTACAAAATCCCGTATTTAAATAAAAATGGAAACACGAATCCGCACCGCGACACCTCAGGACGCCCCCGCAATTCAAGAAATCTACGCTCCCTTCGTCTCTGACGCTGTGACCTCGTTCGAATACGAAGTCCCATCCGTGAGTGAAATGGAGACCAGAATCGTTTCCACCCTCGTCACCCATCCCTTCCTCGTCTATGTAAATGACCAAGGTCGCGTGGTCGGGTATGCGTACGCGACTCAGCACAAGGGTCGCGAAGGGTACAAATGGGTGGCAGAAAGTTCAATCTACCTGGCTCCTGAAGCGAGAGGAAGTGGTGTTGGGAGTGAATTGTATGCCAAATTGATGGACATTTTGCTACGTCAAGGTTTCTACAAAGGTTTGCAAACACAGACGTGGGTGAAATATCTTGTTAAAATAAATACAGTATTTTGAGCACACTTCTTCCCAGGGTTTGAATTTCCAGGGGTGTTACACCCACAAAAAAGATGAGAATTTACATGGAGAATACAATATTCGTTCGAAAATGTAGATTTTTTAAAGAAATTAACTTCTTATCGCTGTCAAAATACATTTTTTTCACGATTTGTTGACAGTATTTTGACACGATAAAAAGTCATTTTCTTCACAAAACCTGCATTTTCGTAACACTTGTACGTATTCCCCATGCAAAATTTAGGTCTTTCTGTGGGTGTAACAGCCCTTGGAAATCCAAACCCTGGGAAGAACGGAGCTAGAAATACTGTATTTTGGCTTTGACAAAGTATTTTGCCCACAAAACTCGTATCGTAACAAAGTCACAAATTCTATCAGGAATTTCTTTCTAAAAACTAATTGAATTTCAGTCGTTGCCGGCATAAGTGGTTCGAACCCAGTCAGCGACTCATTCCACCGCAAATTTGGTTTCGTATTGGTCGAAACCTGGCCAAATTTCGGCTACAAATTTGATTCCTGGATTAACGTTTCGTGGTATTGTAAAGAGCTGCGATCGACGGAAACCACGAGCCGGGTAAATCCGCCCATCCCACCGATACCCTACTCGGAGTGGAGAAAAGATGAGACTCAAAAATAAAATAAATATTATCCTTCCCAACAAAACGCTCCCGTCCTGTCTTGTTTTTTCAGTCATGTGTCAAACATTTGAGAGACGGATGATCATGATCATGAGACGATAAGAGAAATGGAGAAGGAAAGAGAGAGAAAGCTCTCCTTCGAGTTATTGAAACTTATTTATTGTTATATACTCCGCATCCATGCACTCTTAAAAATCCGGTAGATGCTCGGTACTGGTATTGATTTGGTAATAACTTCCTACCGGGTTGGTAGTAAGTAGTTTGTTAATGAGTGGTAAATTTTTCATTACAGCAACATTACTAAACGGCAATGCCCGTTGTTACCGTGCCGGTAGAATCATATATGTACTCCGGTCAGCCAGTAATGATTTGTTCCCAGTTTTCTAAGAGTGTTCCACTTACTTTTGCTCATACTGAATCAAGCACTAAAACGGCTCAACAACATGGTTTAGAGTACTTACATTTGGAGTTTGCTTGGGTAGTTCTATTCTGGTTCATAGCTGTTGAGAGGAAATATATCCGTCTCACTTTCACCGCATTAAGTACAAATGTATTTTATCGTGATACGTACACATATTATCACTCGAAATTCGATAAGTGCAAAGCAAGTGGTTACATAAAAGGGAAACAGAGTTATTTATTTCCTACCATGAACTGAAGTAACTCAATATTTAAATCAAAAGTCAAACAGATAATGACCTAAGAGGACATCTATGTCACAAGAGGGTACGGATACATGACGCGTGTGTACATGCAGATACAGTGGCCGCGGAAGCTGTGGGGACATTAACATTGTAGGATAAGGGAGAAGAGTGATTTATATAACATGGGCAGATGATGGGGGCATCGAACAACAACGGGGACATTGTCCCCCTGTCCCCACGCTTCCGCGGCCACTGTACATTCGTGACATAAAAGTTGTCCTAAAGTGAAAGCAAATCTGACGGATAACACATGATGCGTAATTTTACACCGTTTATTCCCTAAAAGACGACGTCCTTTGATCTCTGACCCTGTAAAAGACTGCTCGATGTTACGTAACGTATAACAGATCGACCCCGAGCATAAAAGAGAAAGCTTGGCCACCAACCACCGTGCAAACCGAACGACTACTCGAACCTGGAGTCAAGTAATGATCGCCATTACTCAAAATCATCATTAAAGAATTCATTCATATATCATCTTTCCAGGACACTGGTTCCCTCTTCTTCTTCCTTTTTTGCAGCCATACGCACATAATAAAAGAACTCTTTATTATTGTGTCGACGAGTCAATGTTTCCCATGAGGAGAAAATGGAGGAAGATTTCGAACAGGGAAAGAGCAAGATCGACACATCCATCCATACCATTTACTCACTGACTCTTTCTATCCAAAGAAAAAATAATAGAGCCCAAAAAATAAATGGTGGGCGAAATGTTGAAGAATAGGGTAAGATATGGTAGTGGGGCGGGTCGAAATTCGGTAACAAATTGTATAACTACTGCCAATTATTAATTGCTGGCATAAAAAGTGTCCAATGCAGTCGTTCTGTAAGGTTAAATATTTTTCTTCTTGGGGTTTGTCGCGGTTTTTACAGATTTTTTTTCCTATCCTCGCTCTTACACTTTCACTATCAGAAAAATCTCTCAAAATGTCCAGGACAGAGGTCGATGCTGACTAATTTTTGGGCGGCGGCCCCCTTTTTAATGAATTTTCGGGGAGGTCTCAATGTTGAAGGAATAGGACATCAGATTTATCGGCGGCGCGTAAAATGCTACCGGCGGTGTCGACCTTTTGTTCTGAAGAAAGAGGGACGGTCGTCCGTGTTTCGGTTCTTGCGGGTATTCTACATTTCTTGCAATGCGAATCAAGAAAGTGCAAGAAATATGCAGATCAAGCCACGTGTCGTGTGAAGTACAGCGCGCGGCCGCAGTTTCTTGCGCCTTGCATTTCATACAGGTCAAAACACCTGCAAGAAACCACTTTCTACCCGTTATTTCTTGCAAGTTCGTTACTTGCCCCCGAAACACTGATGATCATTTCCCCGTTTACCTTTCGCCAAAATTTGAATACTTGAACTGAAAAGTAGTTAAGTTTCCCTTCTTCCCGAGTTTCATAGTTTGTTATTTTCTTTCGGGTACGAATAAGAAAATCTTCCGGATTAGAATTGTATCCTATTTTTAGCTTTGAAATGTGATGTTTTTTCATCATCGACTTTTTTCTAAATCCCTCAATTCAACATGACACAGATTTGATTTCTGGTGAGGATTTACTTTTGCTTTTTTTTTTATTCCACGCTTCGCATTCAGTTTGGGATTGATTCCTCTTCAAATGTTTCCAATCTCTTGATGTGTGATGTAAGTGAGCTAAAAAATCTCCATTCGAATGGCCAAATCCTTTAAAAAATCGGGGAATCCGGATTATTTGGGTTGAATTCGAATTGAATTTTTATCTGTGAGAAATATTTAATGGCGTCAAAACTCTCGAACAGTGGTGACATAAATTGGAAATCACTATTATATACGTGCATAACCAGTGACCGCGGAAGCTTGAGGGGACAGGGACAATGTCTCCACGGTTATTCGATGTCCCCATCATCTGCCCATGTTATACAAACCCCTCTCTCTCCTATCCCCCACCCCACATGTCCCCATGGCTTCCGCGGCCACTGTCTACATCCATACGTGAATGCTGCTCTTTTGATATTTGCTTTTGCATGATTTGCATGTCATTTTGAGAATGGATGGAAGTGTGAATAATAACTTGATCTCCTGCATGCAATTGAAAATTCAAATCAAAATGCATAGATCATCGCGTTGATCCCACTTTAAATACTTTTATTCATTCATGTGCGTGACAATAGGGCGAGGAGTGGCATTTGCCGATAAAATAGGGTGGTATGCAAATATTATTAAGCAAATTATACGTACTTACTAGTCGTCCAGCCGTGATTTAGATACGTAACGGAATGAGAAATATGTATGAAAAAATATTTTGGGGGATATTGGATATTGAATTTCATGAAAATTTAAAAATTAATCCTCACATCATAATCACAGTAAATTATTATGACTACTTTAGTGATTTCGTGAAATTTTATGAAATTATGAAAACTTGGGCTCTTACAGCACAATCACATTACTTAATTTATTATGCATGCTGTATTAGTGATTTTGTGAAATTTTGAAAATTCAGCCTCTTACTTAAAACCACACAAATTTATTTTCAATCTTAATACTTTAATTCCAACTCACAATATGTATTTTTACACAATTTTCTTTTCATCTCACCATTTCCACGACATAATAAAAAGTAAAACTGTAACAAAAAATCTCTCTCTTTCTTCTTCTTCTGGATCAGTTAGTGTCTTCCAAATACTTGACGTCTCTCACAGAAGCTGGACTCACGGTGGAGGATGCCATTCGTTTGGAACAACCGATCCACTTGAGGAGACGGTCAAGGGGCCAGAGCATCACTTTAGACCTGCTAAGAATGGACATCTTAACCCCTTCCGGTCTCGAGGTGGCACTCTTGGTACTACTCGTGCTTGTGGTCGTCGGGCTGTTCGTGGTCAGTTCACTGTATCTTGCATTCGCCAGCGTCAAGTTTATATCCGCCATGGACTGCGTGATGAAATCCACTCCCACCTCCAGCACGCTGGGAGACACGAATGTAATCCGTTCTTGGATTGAGATTTGATCAAGTTTCTGCTCTACCAAGGCCCTCAATCGTCTAATGTTAAGGGTGAGCTGGAAAATAAAGTAGTTGGTCAGATCAATTCGTCAGTTTTTTTAAATAGTCATCAATTCAGAGGGCGGCTATGTATTTATTTTCAAGTTTTCCATTTAAAAATGACCGATGGTCAAACTTTGTGGGTTTATTTCTTAACTCGCATACAAAATAAAAATTTCAAAATATTTCCACATATCGTCATATGTTTTTAGGTTTTCAGACATATAAATATTTCCGCTATTATTTTAAAAATACGTAAATATTTTTTTTTCAAAACTACATATATTTTGTAAATATTTCAGTGATATGATACAAAATTTGGTTGTTCAAAGAATTTCGACAATAGAAAATCCAGAGAATTATAGTCAGAAATAAAAATTTTGCGAAAATTTGTATGTTTTTTCGTACATATTTGTAAATATTAAACCCATATTTCAGCGACTTTCGTATGTATGTACATACATATTCGCTATCTGGTCATCATCATCATCCTCTTATCTACCTACCTGCTCATCAGTCGTTTCATCACTCCCCATAATTTCCTGAATTGCCCGAACCAATGTCGAAATATGTTGTAAATCATGCCCATTGAAAAACACCACGTCGACAACATCTTCATCCTGCAGTGAGAGGATGTCAGAAAACAATTTAAGCGGACCATTGACTCCCATCAGTTGTATTCCGAGTGGAACTTGAAAGTCGACTCTTAACGCCGCCTGAATCCCACCCTTGTCCCCTGCGAGAAAAATATTGATGACAACTATTCACTCGAATTTAAGTGTAATGGACCCTCATCAAAAACAACGACATTTTTACTAGCATCATTTATTCCGGGAAAATAGAATCGTCACCTTTTTGATACACATGCAACTCCTGAATGAAAAGCGTCATCAACTTCATCTTCAGTTGAGACTTGTCCCACTTGAAGTGCGTGATGGCTTCGAGGATAGGATTTTTTTCCGGTCCGAAACAGAGATTTTGCGAGACGAGGAGATGAGCCAGGATTGATTTTGAATTGACCAGTGTGACGTCTTGATCAATATCGGGGGCGTCGTGGAAGACGTGTTTGCTTTCAAAATCACAGATCAGACTTATCAAAATGGTGGCAAACTGCTTTTCCACGAGGGGACAGAGAATCCCAGAGTTTTCGGGGGTACAAGCCAATTCCGTGTAGAGGGGGATCAGCAAAAAGGATGCGAGCCCCATGCGCACCGTGGGAGTGAAGGCGGCATGTTCAGATTTTAGTTTGGGTGCGTCACAGTGGTCACCACTGCCGGAAGAAGTACTGCACGAGGTGAGGGAACGTCCACCACATCGACACTCGTTGCGAGAAGCGAGGATAAAGTCTCTGTAATAAAAATGTAACTTTATTTCAATCGAGAGTGATTCATGGACATAGAATTTCCAGTGTTTCGTTTCGTTCATTGCGGGTTTGCTGCATTTCTTGCAGTGCAAAGAAAGAAATGCAAGAAACTTCAAGAAACCACTTTCTTGCTTTATTTCTTGCAGTGGTTTACAACAAAAATCTTGCAGGATTTTCAAAATTACGGTTTTTACCAGTGTTCCATTTCTTGCACTGCAAAAAATGCCAGAAACTGCATGAAAGTGCAAGAAACATGTGCTATCTATCCACGTGCCGTGTGAACGGCGGTGAAATACTTTCTTGCACCCAATATTTCTTGCAGGTCAAAACACCTGCAAAAACCACTTTCATCCCGCTATTTCTTGCACGTGGTTACACACTTGCCCCCGAAACACTGTCAATTTCAATAAAATATGAAACTTTTTGTGGTAAGAAGAAGCATTACTGTTGAATCCTTGAGAACATATTGGCCTTCGCAATTTCAACCAGAGACACAATTTCATGGCTTATCAGATTGTAAAACAGGCAGTAATATCGGTTCACCAAGGAACAACTCTTCTCCTCACAGAATGATTCCATCAAATCGTGTAAAATGGCGTGGTGGTGTTCACGAAAGCATAACTTGACCCCATCGTCGTGCGAGGTTATCTGCATGCAAATTAGATTTTCAGATTGTTTTAATGACTCAATCTCGTTTAATGAGATGCATAACTTAATTCCTGATTTTGTGTACGAACCAGCATGCGAATCAGCTTCTCTAAAAATGCGGATGAGAAGTTTTTCGCTCCGTCTCCCCTCACATTTTGAACGAGCCATTGGATCGTGGCGTCCACTTTTTCTGGTAAACTGGTCAGATCCAGGCTGCCTTCAGCCTCCGTGAATTTGTGTCCGAGTGCGAGAAACGTGGAGAGATTGTCGTTATCCCAGTGAAATTGGTGGAAAGGACACGACGAAATAGGGCCGGGTAGGCTTCCAGGGACAGTTTCGGACTGATTGATGGCTTCGGTGGGCATCGCAACACCAGCCTCCAAATCTGTAGTCAAACCGATGGTAAATGGTGCACATTTTTGGCCAGCTTTACCCAGATTTTGACCACAATCTCCAAACTCGTTGATTACTTTGCCAGCAGCGGCGGGATCGAGGGTAATTTCGAGATCGCCTGATTTCAGATTCAATCCCGATGGACCCATTTCTTTCGGTGGGGCTAATAATGCACGATTCTCGTCCAAAGGACGGACTTCTTCTTGGCGGGGGGAGTGAGGAGGATGGGATGATGATGACCTTGATCGGAGATTATTTCGCGTATTGTTGTCTTCAGTTAAGGATAGGGCACAACCGGAAATGGGAGAAGAGACGGCATGGATTTGGATTAAGGTGCGTTTTGGTTTTTGTGGTACGGGGGGAGGACGAGGTTTTGAGCGGGTGATGGTGGTGGCCAAAGGGTCATGAAGGGTACGCTGAGGGGCGTCCTCTTGTAAGCGGGGCATCGTATCATTTTCCATTTTAATATTTATGAGACTGCTCAAATTCACAAGGATGAGTTGATGAGAAAGTTTGGGTAATTTTTATCGGGGCCGTCTCGCTTATTTTGTGTTTGTCTACGATTACTTGACATTTTAGTATCTAGGTAACTCTCCGCTTGAGACAACATTTTTATAGAGGCGATCTCAATTGGTCATCGGGAAGTAGTCAAGGAGAAGGGACAGAAAATATTTCTATGGGCTCAGTAATAGAACAAGTGACGCTATTACTAAATATCAGTAGTAGCACATCGTTTTATAGAAAACTACTGAGAAATATGGGTTTACAAATTAATTAATTCATTTATTAATTAGCTTTGCTTCGGGCTCAGCAAAGCAGTAAGCTGTTTGGTTTCTAAAAGCTAAAATTTGTCATGAGTTGCATGCTATTTTTAGACCACAATTCCCCTGAATTATTGTAGTTAAACGCTCAAACGCCATTTTTGAAGAACTGATACTTATTTTACTCATATATGTAAATGTAACCCGGCCATTTGTCGCATCGTGGTCTTGGTCCCCTTGTCGTTAAAAATATATCAAACAATATTTAGCAACGTGCTTTCAAATATGCTTCAAAATGACCATATTCCATCTCCTTGCATCTCTTTCATCCCTGGTTCTATCCTGCCATCCAAGTTTGTCCTCACATCCTCCCAAAATGTGACCACCCGTCCATTTCTCACCCGACGAAAGTATGCCATGCAATCACGTGAAAGCTGGTGTTATTATGAAATGTGCTTCGACAACGGCACATGTTTCGTGTCCATTCCTCCAACCATCTCGAAATTTCATTTCGTCCCTTGGAATCTCTCCGAACCAAATCCTCCTCCTCCCAATATTTCTCTTGTCTTGCCCAAAACAACGAGTTAAACGGTTTTCCAGTCTCTCAGGCCCCATATCCATTGCAATCCACGAGTCCTTGCCTGGATGTAGGGCACGACTGCATCTTTGGGGATTCAAATAGCATCAAACCACCAGCACAACAATAATAAAACGAAGAACCATGGTCAACTCTCTGCTTCTGCTTCCTTTTTCTGCTCCAACTTTCTTGTCAATTCACGGCACATCCTATCGCATCAAATCCACCGGAAGAGGCACAAAACTGCAGCCACGTCTCGTACACACACACAGATCGAAACCTTCCTTCTTGGAACCTCGTACAGTAAACCTTTCCCGTGCCAGAGACGTGATTCATGCCTCTCCCACCCACCAGCCAACTTTCTCCGCATACCAGTGGAGCAGCTAAGCTAAGCTCCCGTTCGTTCCAGCTAAAGCAATCCAGTCGAGTGGAGAAAGTAGAGAGGAGAAAGTGAGGCTCGTGTGTGTGTGTGAGTATGTTCCTTGATATCCTCCGTATACTTATGGATGGACGAGTCCGTTTCTCTCGCTCACTTTACTTTCTCCCTTATAATTCCCCGTCACTCTACTTCCCAGCGTCATTCTAGTGTAAACTTCCCATAACACCGGAATATCCCACCTCTCTTCTCTTTCACACACGCAGTTGGTTGAGCTGAGGAGCTGTTCACTCGTGCCAGAGTCTCTTCTTCAGCATCCATCCATCCATCCAACACCATAGTCTTCTTCGTGAAATCCAGTTGTGTTTTGGGGAAATAAAACAAAAGAGAGGAGAGAAGAGGAGAGAAGCTCGGGTGAAAGTGAAAGTCGTCGCTCCGTTAATACTTCCTTCAATCATTTATTATTGGAAAACTTATACCCGGATCACAATACTGACTATTGATTCGCGACGAAAATAGATAAGTGACCGACCGACCGCGGGACAAAAAAAGAAGAACAAATAGAAAAAAATCTACCAGTATTGTCCCCATCGTGATGAGGGAGAGATAAGGGTGACCAAAAATAAGAGGGTATGCACGAGAAAAATTCTAAAAATCAATGAGCTTCCCAACCGACCTGCTTTGTTCCAAAACCAGTACCCGGCAAGAAAGATGAGTGAGTAAAAGTTGTGATCCGTCGTTTCTCAGGGAGTAACAGTAACAGTAAAGGAAAAGAGTGAATGTGAAAGACAGAGGAGAAAGCAGGCGGGTGAAAGCCAGAGTCTAATCCGGATCGTCAGCTCTATGAACGTACTAAAAACTTGAGGATGCTGGATGTATCTGGATGAGAAAGAGGTGACTTTTCACTCAAAAGTTTGTCCCAAGTAGTATCATCTCTTCCCTAATTGAATCCCGGGCTAGTTAGGAAAGACCGACTTCAAAGATTTATAACGGGTAAGTAAGTACATACAAAAGCAATCATCAAACCCTTATCGGCACTACTTGATTTCGATAAGTATCATCATCCTGCTTTGCACAAAATATTGTTGCACAACGGCATTATCCTTGTCATAAGTACAATTATAATCCTGTCTGTGTCGCAATTTTGGACCGATTTCGACACAAGTCCTGAGTCCTTAACGAGCTAATTTTCGTAATCATCTAAAACGTGTCGCAATTCCGTGTTTCGCAAATCTATAATCCTATCAGCAAAATCCACTCGGCGAAATCTTGACAAAGATTATTATGCTGCATAGATGCAGAAGGCTGTTAAAATTTAAAAAGTTTTTCTGGGTGAAAGTTTCATGACACAGAAGCGAAGAGCATCAGGTTCCACAACGGAACGGTACTTCATCCTCGCTCACTTCTTCACTTTCTTGCTTAGGATTAGTTTACGTCCCCATAAAATAAAGGAGATCGAGCACTTGGCATTCAGTTCAGATGCGAAGGTCCCAGTTTGATTTTTACTTTTTTTTTCTCCATCTCTGTTTATCCAAACCGTGCTTACTCGCTCACTTGTAGAGAAAAGTATCGGCAGTGATTGTTCGAAGAAGACGTTGTTGTACTCGTCGTGCTGCTCTGTTTTGGAGGTTTCTTACCAGTGTTTCGGGTGAAAGTAAGCACGTGCAAGAAATAATGGGAAGAAAGTGATTTCATGCAGCAAAATATTTTGACCTATAAGAAACGTAAGGCGCGAGAAATACGCCCCGCGCTGTACTTCATAGGGCACGTGGCTAGATGGCGCATATTTCTTGCACTTTCGTGCACCTTGCATTTCTTGCAGGTCAAAACAGCTGTAAGAAAAACGGAAAGAAAGTGGGTTTTTTGCACATATTTTGGCCTATACGAAATGCAATGCGCAAAAACTCCTTCCTGCCGCTATACTTCATACGGAGAGAAGCTATATTGGGCAAATTTCTACCAATTTCTTGAACCTCGAATTTAACATGTGGCTAGATGGCGCATATTTCGTGCACTTTCTCCCAATTTCTTGCACCCCGCATTTCCTGCATTTCATTCTTTGCACTCCCAGAAATGTAGCAAATCCTCCTAAAACGAAACCCTGCTTCTCCCTCCTCAAACCTTTAACCTAACTTTATGGTGATTACGCACCACTCGACTCGTCCCTCAAAAATGGAAGAATACGTACATACATATCTGCCCACATTTGGCTCTCAGGAACATAAAAGTTGAGAATTCCTTGAAAAAATCATGAAATAGGATTTTCTTGTTGGTTTTACTGAGCAAACATGATGATAAATATTGAATGACCTGTTGTTGGCAGTCAGTCGGGTGGGTTTTAGTGGGAAAAGAGTAGCATGCGAAAAAGGAAACAAACTTTGCTTTCTCCAGGCGATGAAAGTTTAATGCTGATTGACTGTCAATCATTGACAGTTGTAAACACGTCGTGATGAGATAGCAACCAACGAACGAACGATCACGTAAAAAACCAAAGCTGAGGAGACGATCAGGTTTTATTTCGTCCCATGTGATCCTGAGAAGACTCAAAGTGTGGTTGTGCAAATAAACGTTTGCATAAAATTATGCAAACACTATAATTCAAACGCTACGCGACTTTTGCGAACTTGACTTACATGAAGGCGAATTACATAGTAAATTCTGAAAAAAAGTTTCGTAATCATTGCAAAATCTTTGTATCACGTTGCCTCGATTTATTTACACTGGGTGAAACCGAAGACTGTCCGTTGTCTGTCTGTCCGTCTATCTGTCCGTCAGCAGGATAACGTGAGAACGGATCGAGATAATTAAGACCTGTTTGTAGCATTATACATATAACCCCAGGGGGAGGATCCTATCAACTTTTGGGGTCAGTCGGACCACCCCCTCGAAATCAGGGGGTGTGGTTAAATATTTTTTTTTGAATTGCTTGTTTCACCCTATCCCTACATTTGGTTTGTAACGGTTTATTACTATAAAAGCTGCGTAGGACGTCATAAATCTATACTTTCATCCATTCTGCATGCATAACCGTGATGAAGATGGACGGACAGGTGGTGTGGTGGGAGAGAGAGAATATTTTACATTTTGAAGAATTGCACTTCTTCTCTATGTCAAGATTGACTTGAAAGTTGAAACTGCGTGGGGCGTAGTAAAATAAAACATTATTTAGTGCGTGGATATGGAAAAGGCTCAGTTGTGACGCTTGGAGATCACCGTCAAATTAAGGAATAATCCATCACTCACGTACATTTTTATAACACACATGCACACGCAGAGCAGTAGCAGAGTAGCATATTTATGTAACTTTAAGATGGTACGTTTGTATGTGCCAGGTGGGTTCAAATCTGAAAAAAAACTGAGAAACTTGAGCAAAAATGTTGGCGTGGAATGTTATGAAATCAGGTAGACTTTACATTTGCAAGTGTAATATACATTAATTTTTTAAATACATATTAGCTCAAAATGGAGGTCTCCCAGCGTGTGTTTTCCGATTTTGAGCAGAGTAGTGTCAATCTATTACAAATTTAAGAAATATGAAATTTGCGAAAGACACGATTTCCCAATGGGCACGTTTGGCTGAAATATTTTCATCCGAAGAGGAGAAAACAAGCAGTAAATTTTGAAACAGTAAAATTCATCAACTTTAAGGCGCATTTTCTCCTCATCGGATGCAAATATGACCATTGGGAGATCGTGGCTTGTGCAAATTTCATATTTCTTAAATTTGTAATTGATTGACATTAGTTTTCTCAAAAATCTGTGAGCATACGCTGGTTGACCTCCATTGTAAGTCAGTCTTACGTACGTCTCATTCCTGTTGTACTTATAAGTACAATGCCCACCATCATTCCACGTGAGTGAGGTAGCTAAATTTCAGCCAACCATCTATCCACCCACTCGTTAGACTTTGGCATTAATAAAGTCAGAAACAAAGTAGGAAAGAAAGAGAGCGTGGGATTATTTCACTTGTTTCTACGACGTAGAAAGAAATTAAGCCCTTTGTCAAATGATTTTAGATACCAAATGAAGTCGACAAAGAATTAACTCTAAACCGATTCATTCCCATTGTTTTGACTTAATTAAGGGAAACAATCCTATTAAATCATGCTCAAACGATGTCGGTTGGAAATTTCACTCAAACATGGGCCAAATTTCCAACCGTGGAAAATTGATACATAAAAAGTGGCAGGGGTGAACGTGATAAGCGAAGTTGTTGGAACCTATTTTGTTCGAACGTGTTGTATGTGACAGGAAAGGAAATGGATGTTTTGTAAAATGAAATCATTTAAGGATTGGTGAATTTTGACATATTTCCGTCCTCCCATGTGGACAACAAACAAACATGTCATGCATGTATATGTCACTGAGACAATTTCCCACTTTCACCCTCGAAACACAGTAAAGAACACGACCAGTGTTTCGGGTGGGAGTAACCACGTGCAAGAAATAGCGGGGAGAAAGTGGTTTCTTGCAGCTGAATATTTTGACCTGCAAGAAATGCATGGCGCGAGAAATGACTCCCCGTCGCTAAACTTCATACGGCGCGTGGCTGGATGACACACATTTCTTGCAATTCCTTGCAGTTTCGTGCACCTTGCATTTCTCGCAGCTTCTAGCTTTGCAGTGCAAAAAAATTATGTAGAAACTAGCGCAAAACGTAACACTGAACAATAGTTCATACGGCGCCTCTCTTGATGGCGCGTATTTTTGCACTTTTTCCCAATTTCTTACATCTCACATTTCTTGCATTTCTTTTTTTGCATTCAGTGCAAGAAATGTAGCAAAACCCGCGACCAACGAAACACTGAATTCGACTAGAACAACCCTGTACGTATGTTGAACTGATGACAACCAAATTTACACCCCGACATCATAATCCGGCCTGGTCGAACACGAACAGGCAACAGTTGCACCTTGTATGTAACATAAAGTTTTGCTTTTCTCGATTTTTTTGCTGTATCAAAATATGACATAATCTCCCTCGTGGGAAGGCGTCATGACGTGAATTTGTCCTCATTTTTCCCTCTGATCATTCACCAGGGGTAGGTTTCTTAAAACGTAAAGCAGACACAACTTCCTCATCCTCTGCTGCATTTAGAAAAAGATACTTTTGTTCAATGTGGGACTTTCTCTGCTGACGGATTTTGGTGCCTCATCTCATCGAAGGATTTAGTAATGTGGACGATGCAGGCAGGATTTCTTGTCTTCAGGAGTTGGGGAAGTAAAAAAAGTGACAAAGGAGGAAGAAGGAAGATCGATTCCTTCGTGGATAGCGGCGGTTCGACGTCGTGTTTGAGGAAGAGAAAGTCTTTCACTCCCACGAAAGAAAGAAGTCGTATCACATTTAGCGAAAGAGTTGAGCAGATCGCAGGCAGGCCTCTATTTGCTCCAGGATTACGTTTTATAGCCTCTAAATTGCTTTTTCCTTCCCTATGCAAATGAACATGGGTACGAATTAGTTGTTTAATTGCTTTAGCACAAAATGCGAGAAATCATGAATAATGATGCAGGAATGGAGGGAATGATTTGTTCCGGAAGTAGGAATTGTGTATTTTAGTCTTTTAAACAATATTTTGTTATGTAGGTTGTGGTTATTTGTCGAATAATTTTTAGTGGGTTAAATAACGTTGTGTTTCGGGTGCGAGTAACCACGTGCAAGGAACGGTAAGATGGTGGTTTCTTGCAGGTATTTTACAAGGGACACTCACGACCTGTCGTTTGAGTCCAGGGTACCCACTATGTTTTTTAGAATCTACTAGGACCCCAGATGAAGGATTCATTCATATTTCCGTGTAAAACTCATATTTGGCGCCATGGCGTGGCGCCATGGCGTGGCGCCAAATTCGCCAAATTTGATGGTTTTTCATTTTAAAACCGCCGTAACTTTTGAAATCCTGGACGGATTTTCAAAATTTTTGGCAAAAATCATGACAAGGAGTTCAACTTTCGTATTCTATGAAATTTTTTCCAAAATTATCGCTTTTAACTTTTCG